AGTTCTTACATTGACCCCTTGAAATTCTTCCAGAATTTTGTATCTCAAATAATGAATTTAATTACACTTACGTAACGTTGAAAAGATCCAAATTTTTATTATATGTAGAGTAGAAAATGACTCGTAATAAAGTTCTATATTCCATATAAATATCCATTATCACAATTATTTAAATGCCATTAAATTAAGCATTAATACACACGTTATTTATTAATAACACAATACAACTATCGACACAGGCTTGTTAAATAAACGCAAACGTAAAACCGATTTTAAATTATATCAAAATTACAAACACATCTCCAAAAAGCACCTGTTCGCGTATTTCGAATATTCACGAAATGATTTTTTTAATACACGTCCAAGATGATCTCATCTTTTGACCTCCCCTCGATTGGCTTGGTGCGACAATAGGGGAATTAGTTTTAAGGGAGGGTGATTTAGGATTTCGGCCAATGGAAGCTCGCCGTTCGAATTACGGACCAATCGAGAAGAAAACAAACGAGCGTCAGTTTCGTTTTAGACGGTTTACTTTTCGGCGCTGAGATTTTGACAGTGACTACTGTGACTAATCACGTAATATTAGTGAAGAAAATTTGTGATAAGATTTATTTTATTATTTTGATTTGTCCTATATACGTTTTAATAACATACAGGGTGGCCACTTTTTAGTTTGTTAAATAAGCCAAATTTACAGTTTTTTTACAAAATAAAAATCGTGGTGGTAAGTTAGATTGATTTTAGAGACACGAAAAATGTTTAGAGGAAATACAAAAATAGACAGTATTAAAAAACTGTCAAATTTAATGGAGCTTTAGAATCGCGCTACGTTTTGCAGGACCATGTGTTAGGGTTAAAGGAATCCCAAATAATAGAAAACTTTAACCAAAAGATACACGTTGCAAGTTTTGATATTTATCAAGAAAATTGATAATCATAATAGTAATACTTCTAAAAAGCAGGTTATTTGACTTGTAGTATATACAGGGTGTTAGGGGGTTGACTACGATATTATAATAAAAGAACTAAGAAGCATTTGAAGTAAAAATGCATACAATATAGATACTTTTTACTTTCCTGTCTGTATACAGATAAAGAATGTATAGAAATCATAATTTTTCTCCATATCGAGTTTTCGACGCATTTTTTCGTTTTGGAGTCTCCTGAATCTGCTTTGACTATTTTCGAGATGATGTATGTCTGTGTACTCGATAATTCCTGAACGAATTAACAGAAAAACACCAAATTTTAAAACGTAAGCTCTAATCCATCCTGCGGTGAACGGATTCAATATTGGACATAGTCGGAACATCTGGGGATACTTTATAGGGGGTAATTTTCTTCTTTATGGAATATCTGTTATTTACGCTTAGAAAATAAAAAATTTTAAACATAAAAAGTTTATAATCTATGCATGATTTCCCTAAAATGGACCGTATTCGAGATATTTGAGGAAAAGTGCAAAATTTGAATTTTGAAGTGAAATCCGACAACCGGGGGTTGATAATTAATTTAAATAATTCTTATATATTACATATTATAATCAAATTTTTTATTTCGAATTGAAACGACATCCCAGCATCTCCCGACTCGTAGGCGCCATTTAATTACTTCTGGGAAAAGAAATCGACGTGTAAACTGTAACGGCCGGTAGAAGAAACCAGATGTAAAACGTTAGGGCTATATTCAGGAATTACTACAGGGCTTTATAGTCTTTATGCACCGAATTCACAGTCGTTCTCTTTCCGATACATTTGCATACATGGGAAATTTAAGTATAAATACCAGGGTTTTTGTGGGCTAGGAGATTAGCTTTTTCATCGCCACCGAGTCAAGTTAACAAAAAACGCAAATATCCACGTTACCTCTACGGTGACTCCTTTTTCTTTATATTCTTCAAATATAATTAAAAAGAGATATCGCTACCCTTACGGTGGCCGCTATTTTGTTATATTTTGAGAACGAAAATAAAAGATATCGACGGAGTAGAGAAATTAGTTTCTATAAACGACGGCTTCTGCATAGATATCCAGTTGTCCTTAGGATGACCACCTTTTTCTTATATTTTATATATAAATAAAAGGAGATATATATAGTTAGGTTGACCAAGCAGATACACGTTGAATACAACCAGATTTCGCTCCTAGAACTGTTTTATATGGTTGTATCTACCGAGCGACTAAAACATTGGCATAACTGATACTGGTGAGACCACGCTAGTATAGTTAAACGCCAGATATTTTATATCTCCGATTCAACATTATAAAATGTTACTAAATGATTAAAAGTACTACTCTAGGCGACGTTCGTAGTGGATTTCGTCACCCTTAAAGGCTGACCCGACGAACTTGCGCCAGGTAGACGCTTTTATCAGCGGTATACTTTTTTCTGTAAGGTTTCTTTTACGTAGAATTAAAACGATAATCGCACTATTAAAGTAATCAAACTAGTATTTAATATTCATATATTCCGGGGGAGAGTTTAGACTAACATTGATGGGTTACAGGTATCACTTTATTACTTTTATATTCATTAGCGGTAAAGTTCGCGTCTGTGTGTTATTGTCATATTTTTTGTATTCATTGATAAACGTTTATTGTGGGAAAAATTATAGAGTTTTTATATTGTGCTAAATTATCCTATTTAGAGAATCGAGTGATGTGTTGTTGTCATAAATATTAATTGTTGTAAAATCCGTCAACACTCTCAAGTAATAAATTAAGTCATTTAGATTTATGGCCAAAGGGCCGAATTATAAAGTTTTGGTTGTCTGTAAACAGTACCTGCCCCTTTTAGTAAAGAGGAAACGCACTTTTATTTTTACTTTTAAATGGCAAACAGATGTAGATTAGTAGGGTAAATGCCTTGATTTGTATATATTTTAAAGTTAGATTGCCGTTAAAAAAATATGTTTTCTGTCGTTCTTTGTAAAACAAAATTGGGTAGACAAATGTGTCATTTTAGCCGCAAGGAGTGTTAGTTTTTTTATATCGATTTATCGGGAAAAAGGGGATATGTACAGCGGCGGGTAGAATCATGAATATTGAGGAGGATCGGATTTATTTGTACATATCCACATATCTTTAGCGGGACATTACGCGGAAGTAGTCGGTATGTTTGTTATTTATTTAGAATAAATAGGTGAAATTGTATTTGTGGACTAGCTAACGTATCCCCAGAACTGTGATTAATAACAATGATTTGTCAATCGACAGAGCAAAAGAGCATCGCGCCGAAAAAGAGCCTTAGGCCACCATAGACCGCCAGGGACATCAATAGTAAGGGCCTAAAAATGGTATTTCCCTTGCGGCTATGTAAATTAAAGCCTGATAGAGGCAGGATGGATCTCTACTGAGATACCCCAAAAGTGGGCCTGACGGGCATACTCCTTTATATCAGGTGTTCTACGATCGACCGTTCAGTGTTTGCCATACAGGACTGAGTATGTCAGTACATTACGGCATTGGAATATTAGGGAAAGGCGTGACGCACGGTAAAGTAAATCTACAATCCGGTTTTACACATGTTACAAACATTATTTTATATTTCACCGAACTCCCCGTGCTACCGCTGTACTCTCTTTTATTAGACAATGCGTAATTCAGTATTTCCGTGGAAAGGTGTGATTGTATATTAGGAGGCAAACAAATATACGAAAGTACTTCAGACTTTTATTTTACCCTTTTATGGGAACTAAAAGTTTTGGGGTTATAAATGACCCATTGGAAAGCCTACATAAACATAATGTTAAGCCTAAAAACGGCACAAAATCTAAATGTCCGGCTGTACAAAAGAATAGATGTTAAATAAACAGTATTCCAAATTATTTTCTGTGTTTACTTTGTTCTACCTCCATTACAGCTACATTGAACTCTAAACGTAATTCTGGGGGTTTTGACATCACTTCGTGGGGATCCACTAGACAAAACTTAGGCCAAGGTTAAGGGTATTTGGAAAACTAGGTTAGGACCCGGTTTGTCAAGTTACAGAAGATATCCCAAAAACGAATAAAGAGAAAAACATAAAATTTTAAACTTTAAAAAGGAATAGGTTTTTAATTATTTAGAATATTTTTTTATACATTATGTTCAGCGATCATTTTTTACCATCTCATTCGATTTTTACGATTTTTTTATTAGAGCAGGGGTACCTTAGGGGTGGTCCCATATAAATGAAATCGATGAGAAAATCATTAAACTCTTCATTTTTTTGAAATCAATTTTATTATCTTACTTTACTTTTCTTTCATTATGTTTTTACGTTTACTAGAAAACAACACTGGTGAACAATCAAAGGATCTTAGAAATTTGTTCTAGTATAATAATATAGATTATCGTCTTTCTACACGATGTCACTGGGATGGCTTTAAGAAGAACTGAATCGGTGAATTCGAAAACCGTACATGTCCAAAATCAATCTTCCGAGAAAAACAATAAAAACCTTTTAACAAGTCACGAATATGTACGGTTTTTCGCCTAATTTCAAGGGTGTAATCAGCTGTAATACGTTAACGGCTAAGTATCTAGTACGGTTTTTAAGCTCAATCGATGAAGAGATAAATTTTATGCAAAATGGCTCTTAATTTTGGACTTGTACGGTTTTCGAACTCACCGATTCAATTGAGAGAGCTGGGATTGGGATTAGAATTTGTGTTTACGCTAACGCGAAGTTTAAATCCCATTAATTTATATCTACGAATTTGGATATTGAAACCATATGTATCGACTTGACTTGACTTAACCGAAGGCCACAGTCCGAAGATTCCTGGTTCGATCCCTGATCGACGTACTCACTTTTTTCCCTTTTTGATTTCTTGTAACACTAATTTTACCGTAGTGTCAACAGAAATAAAAAAGGTTATTCGAATGACAGACAAATTAAAACAATAAACATTCTTTATTCAAACAAAATACCAAAAGAAAAAAATTTTTGGTCATGTTTATGATGCAATTTCTTTAAAAAATAAATATATTTAAAATTATTAAAAACTATAAAAGGTAACTTAATCTGCCTATATTGGTATTTATCTCATTTAAAAAAAATCATTGCTTTCCCTAGTCTTTATCAGTGTGGTCTTTGTTACTTTTTCTGCTAGTACAGGACTCCGAATCGCAATCCCTGGACGAATATCTGGAACAGATAAAAATTAGGATGTAGCCCTTCTAATAACTGTCTCAAAATAATTACTTTATGTATGAAACTCGAGTGTAATTATTTAATAGTGGTCATCATGTGTTCTGTAAAAAAACCAAAAGAAAATGAAATGTATGTTAGAACGAAACTGCTTGAATATTTAAAACAGTTTTGTTATATATATTTTTTACAGTATTCAATATATGATTGAAGCGAATCAATTTCCATTAAAAAATAGGCTAAAATTGAGTATAATACAAGTAAACATCCGCTTCTCATAATGATAAGATAAAAAATTTAATATTATTGCAAAATTCGAATTATTAAAAAAATTATTCAAATAAAAGTTGCTTGTGATGTCATTCTCTATAATTTTTGTCCTATTGTGACAGGCTTCTGGTTTACCTACAGTGAATCAGCGAGTCTGTGTGGCGCTATGAAGGTGATTCCCGAATAGGGGTTGCTCAGGCGCCAGTTTTGGTATAGTGGTCACTGCTAGGTAGCCACTATACTAGAATAAATAAAAATAAAACACTTATCTCCTTTACGCCTCGTACCCTACGGTACCCTGAAAGAGAATGGTTAAGAACCAGTAATAAGAGAAACACAGGAATAGGTAATAAAATATATATTTACAAAAAATAATACAACGGTAATTAAATATGAACGGCTCCCTATATGCGGAAAACTTATTAAAAATAAATTATTACCAATGAAAACTAGTTAAATAATAACGGCTCCCTATATGCGGAAAATTTATTAAAAATAAATTATTACCAATGAAAACTAATTAAATATTAACGGTTTAAAGTCTCTCTCATGTAGACATCTGGTAGTCCATAGCTTCTACAAGAGAGAAACCCTTTCCACGAGCTGTTATAAAGACTAGGGGCTGAAACATCTCTCGAAACATCGACGGGGGAAAGCAAGCGAATACCGCTATCACCCCCTGATTAACGCGAAAATGGATGAAGGGTGCGAGTGCCCTAGGATTTAAATCCAATTTACTTTATAACCTTGTTAGGTACTAAGGAAATTAAAAGTTCGTATTACCTTTTACTAGTACGGGAAAATATTTACGGTTCGCTAGCACATGAGGCCAAGCGGTCCGGGAATTATGAAACTCCCTATATACGAAAAATTTATTAAAAATCAATTAATACACTTGAAAACAATTTAAATATGACGGTAATCAAATGCAAGCAAATAAATGAAATCAAAGTTGTCGGAACCCCCTCGTATCTTAACCACGAGCGATAAGAAGCGAAAATTTTCGTCTAGTGAGAAATATGGGTATTCATGCGGTGTTTTGGATGGCAGAGGCGACGATCGTAGAAAATAATATTTTGAAATTTGCCCAGAGTCGATCGAGAGCGTGTGTGAATTTAATTTTACAGAAGTCGTCTGGCTTCATTCAATAACTAATTGTGGACGGGGAACGGAATTATTCAAATACAGCTGATAAAAAAAATAAAAGAAATAAATTTTACACGAAGTGAGGCGCGGAAATTAATTTAAACGTCTTTTTGGGAAATTAGATAACGTCATCAGGAGAGAGAGCACTCTAATCCGGGAACGGATCGAACCTCCAAAAAAGAAAATAAAACAATAAAATAATAAAAAAAAATTGAAAACAAGTTGAACCTCTCACTTCGATGTTAACTGGGCGGTTTTTAAGAGTAATTGGATATAGTCGTTGACAAAGAAAGCACTCGGAGTCTAGCCTATGTCCAGCCTCAAATAAAAATTGCCAACGGTTTCCCACTGAGGGATGAAATAAAATATCCTGGATATGAATGAAAATTTTTCACTTGTCGCACGGGTGTCCCAACTAATTATATAAGAGTCAATATAAAAATAATGTACGGTTCCTACCTTGGAAGATAAACGGGGTTATTCAATTAACTTTTTCGAAATCACGACACTCACGGAGTATTTACTAGGCACTATAGAAGGGCGAATAGTCTTCGGCTGTCGACAATCATGAGCAAGAGCTTACGGCGGCCGACAAGCAAGAGGGCGTAATTCCCAGATGTCATTGAATTTATGCTTTTCGGTAAAGCCGAGTGGGGATACCACTACTACAGCCGACTGTTTACAATTTAAAAACAAAAAAATGTCCTTCTAGTACCTTGACAAATAAAAGTAGATAATTCATACAAAATCGACTCTACAAAATGCCCATTCGGATTTCGGCAAATACAGGAATATTTTAATCTACGAGGGTACTCGCAATTGTTGTAAAACGGTAATTCCTGGGAAACAGAAATACGGGGGATCTTCTACATGTCCTCAGGCGGGAATTAATTGAAATAAATTAATTGAGAGCAAAATTTAGTGACTTCGTTACACTATACATGATTCTCTTAAAATGGACCGTATTCGAGATATTTGAGGAAAAGTGGAAATTTCGAATTTTGAAGATAACTTAAAAACAGAAAATGAGAAAAACACCAAATTTTAAAATTAGGTTTTAATCCATCCTACGGTGGTCTGATTAAATTTTGGGCACAGTAAAATCAACCTGGGTAGTATTTTATAAGGTGTCGTTTTTTTACTTTAAGAAATATCTGCTATTTACGACCGAAGAAAAAAATTCTTCAAATAAAAGTTGTTTGCCATATCATTCTCTATATTTTTTGTTTTATACATGATTTCGCTAAAATGGACCGTAACGGAAAAATTTAAGGAAAAGTTAACATTTTAATTTTTTAATATTTTTGTTGGCAATGATCCACCATTATTATTTACCTTTAATCTTTCAAATAAAAACGACTCTAGCGGATGTTTAATTGTACTAGCTCAATTGTATAGCCATTTTTTTGTGTTTCTAGACAACTATACTTTTTTTTATTCTATAAAATTTACAGAACTTACATAATTTCTAAACTGGATTCACTAGTTTTCATTCCATGTTCGGGTTCCGAAGAACCTGACCCAGATCCTAATTCTTCTAATAAATCTTCTTTCCTCTCCGAATCACCGTCGTGCTCATCATTGGTATCCGACGGTACGCTAGCCATTTGCCATGCTGGTATCGATGGTGGTACAACTGGACTATTTGCTACAGACGGAAACTGTTTTCTAGATAAGAAGAAAATTTATTTTTCCCAAAAGTTACATAAATGTTTTGACTCACTCTGTATATCAAAACTATCCAAACAACATTATTCAATCAAAATAGAAGTAGGTTATTTTATTTTTGATATAAAATATAGTATCATGTATCATTCAGAGGTATAATCAAATTGCTTACAAAATTCCTTATCAACATAATTAACACATTAAATTTTAAAATTATTAAGGTCAATGGAATCTGAAAAATTATATTTATAATGTTGTTATGTACAAAATTAATTATCGTATTGAACTAATGTAACCTAATCAAAAAAACTATTTTTTATAATGAAATAATACCCTAAGTTTTTAAAGCATTTAAAGTACTAGGTATACCTAATAAAATATTGATGTTAGGAAAAAATTATAAGGAAAACTGTAGAGAATTTAATTTTCTGCAAGTTTTATAAAAGGTATTTTTATGTGGGATTTGCCCTGAAATGAGATATTTTGAAAATAAAATGATACATTAACTTTGAAGCAATATATCTTTGTAAAAAAAGCTTCAAAACAAAAAAGATTTTAATCTATTTAAAAGTCTACAACACTTTTCATCATACAGTGCACAATTTCTGAAATATAGAAATTTTAAATAAATCTTACCTTCCTAAAAGTAGCCCTTTTACACTGGAAATTTCAGACTTTAATTCTATGAGCTGTCTAGAAGTGTGTGTTTCAGAATCGTGAACTTCCTCTTTGACATGTTTCAAATCATCTTTCAATTCCGTTACAGAAGTTTTTAAATTTTCTTCTAATTCTTCAATATTATCACTAAGGGATTTTTTCTTTTTGCCAAACAAAAACGGAGCTATATAGCGCTGAAACAAATCCTCACTGAATTACTTGGTTTTTTAAATAATAAGTAACATTAAAAGTAAAAAAAAAATATTTTTCAAAAAAATCTAATGTACAGTGAATTAAAATAATTTTTCTACAGGATATAACATTGCTTATTTAAATTCATGTACAGAGAATAATTTTTGTAAAATAACTTTAATTTTATTAGTTATTGTACCAATATGATAGCAAATACATTATTATATACATTTACTTTAATTTAAAAACCTTACCTCATAAAACTTGTGAATAACATAAGCCACAATACTAAATAAAGCAATGTTATGTAGAACTTCCCGTATTCTATCAAACAAGGTGAATTGAACTTGATTGTGCGGTTGATAAGAGCTCAGCATTAATTTGGAACTAGGCAAAGGAGGAGGAAGACGAATTTGATGTTCATGGACTGCATAAGCTCCAGATTTTTCACATGCCATTTGAATTTCCTGATCCGTTAGACCTTTCTTTTGGAGAAACTTTTGTTTTTGAGCCAGAGAGGTATTCACAACATTAGGATTTTCTAGGAATTTTATTGCTGTTTGAACCTTTAAAAAATGTACAATTTCATTTTATGTGAATTGTTTTAATTATAATAATTACAAAAACCAAGTAAGGTCATATCATTAGATCTAGTAAACTTAATTAATTTTATTTGAAGTGAAAATACAGATAAAATATTTATAAATACAAAACCTAATTTAACATTCTTAGCAATTAGTTTATAAACGGGTTTTTAAAAGAAACAATCAATGAAATTAATTTGCATAATTGTAATTAAAACTAGTCACATAATCTATTATTATTTTTACTGTTACGAGCCACATAAATGTGAAAAATGTAAAAACTAAGAAATAGAATAAAAAAAAACCTTTATTTACCATATCATCTCTAATTACTGGATTATCAACAGGGATTTCTACCGAAGTGGAAGCCATTATTTTATGCTATGGTCTATTTAGTAATTCCACTTACAAAGTCCAAACTCAACGTGATATAAATTTGGTAGATAAATTTTATTTTCTGGAAATATTTGACGTTTTGGCGACAACCCAATGACAACCGAATGCGAAGTGACATTCATTTGACAACTACAACATGTGACAGACGACTTCTTCTTTTACTAAAGTCACTATTTGTTCTCCACTTTTCTGAAGATGGTTAAAAAAAAGTTGTCTATGAAAATTGCTTGTTAATTATCATCTTTTTTTGTTATGTAATAATAATCCTTTTTTTTAGTATGAAATTAGATTTTAAAACCATAAATAAAGTATTAAATTAAACGATTGGATTCTTTATTTGATCAAGAAAATGTTTACTGCCATCAGCTAAAGTAACAGACAGACAATACCTCACTTCCGGCACTAACGGTTTCGGCCATTTTGCCAGAATTTCGTCTCGCCGATCATTTGACGTTTAGACGAAATTTATGATTATAAGTAATTTTAACGCGATTTAAGAAACTTAAATGTAAAGTGAATAAATAGGTTAATCATTAAAAGATGGCTAGATACGGTCAAAGACCTGAAAACGCTTTAAAGCGTGCAAACGGTAAGTTCAAAACAAACTTACATATGGATGATAAGATATCGACATACATAATTTTTATTTTTAGAATTCATCGAAGTTGGGAAACCAGCTAGAGCTTTGGATACTTTGCAAGAAGTGTTTAGAAACAAAAAATGGGCTTACAATTGGTCGGAATCCGTTTTAGAACCCATAATGTTCAAATATTTGGACCTCTGTGTGGAACTGAAAAAATCACATATCGCCAAAGAGGGTTTGTTCCAATACAGAAATATGTTTCAAACAGTGAATGTGGGTTCACTGGAAAATGTTATAAGGGGGTATTTAAGAATGGCCGAGGAAAAGACTGAGAATGCTAGAGAACAATCAGCTCAAGCTGTTATCGACATTGATGACTTGGATAATTTGGCCACACCTGAAAGTATTTTGTTGAGGTAAGTCGCCTCCTATTCTTAAGGAAAGATGATAAACCTCTATTCATAAAATAAGGTTCCTGTATGCTTTTGGTTTGTTGGAAATTTGAAAAATATTTATATAACGTACAAAAATTAGACATTTTAAAATATTTCCTTGAGTTACACACAGATAAACACTTTCTAGTTCACATTCATAATTATATACTTTGACATAGGTTTGTTTGCTATTTATATAAGATAACAACAAAGCCTAATCTTTACCTCTACAACCAATCTTCCAATTTTGGAATACCAACATCTAAGTTAATTAAATCAGATGCCTTTGATTAAAGAAATGTCTATTAACAGAAAAATGTTTGAAATTGAGTTCTACTGCTGCACTTTCAGTAGAATATTTTTATTGTTTTTTAAGAAATGTCAACATTTTATTGTGGACACACTATTCAAAGATTTTGCTTAAGATGGTAGACACTGTACATAATTAAAAACCTATTTTAAAAGAGGACAGCATGTTTATCTTAATTAAATATTTCAAGTCCATTTAATAAGTCGAAGTAATAAATTGTTTTTATTCATTTTTTTATGTTATCTTTAGTTCATGAGGTATAACCATAGTAAGTTTTTTATTTTCATACCATCTGCTTTAGGGTATATAAATATGTTTTTGAAAATTCCAAAGAGATAAATCATTAATATTATAGTAACCCTTACACTTTCTTGGACTTTTACATACTTTTAATAGGCTGTTGCCAACAAAGTTACACTTTTCACTGTTGAATATAACATCTTGTCTTGGGGATAAAATTGGTATAGTGTTAGTAAAATAATCTATATTTAATAGTTATAAGTTACAATGAGTTACAATAATAAATAAGTTACAATAAAGTACAATAATGGAAACCAATTATATAATAACAAGCACCTAGGTGAGAACACCTGTTTGTGCTGACCAAAATTAAAATTTTATTTTAATTATATTTAATGAATTATAAAGGAAATAAAACTTGAACAATTTATGCAAGAAACAGAAAAAAAAACAAAAAAAATCCATGTATTAAGTCTGTTATTCTTGGAATATTCTGATAAACTTTGCATTATTTTGGAAAATGTATATTTTGCTAACTTTACAGAATTTTTTATATTTGTTTAATAATTTTATATGAAGAGGTAGAGCGTTATAGAACTTTGTCCCTAAATAATTTACACTGTTTTTAAAAAACTCACTATTTGGTTTTGGTACTTTAATGCACATGTTCGATGTAGTTCTAGTGTTGTCTATGTTCTAAAGGGTTTTTCAAAAATTCATTTTTTTGTATGTAACAACACACTGCATGAATATATAAACATCTAACATTGCTAATTTTTTCATTGCATAAAGTTATGATGGGACACAATCTATCTCTTTATATATTAACTTCAAGATTTTGTTTTGTATAACATTTAACTGATTTAATGTAGTTCCATACAGGCTTCCCCATACAAGATTCCTTACCGTAGTATAGATTCTACTAGACTGTAATATAATGTTATTAGTAGATCCAGGTTGAGAAATTGTTTTAGAAGATAAAATTTATAAATCAGAAATCTAAGTTTTTTTGCTATATATAATTATATGGCAGTCCCATTTTAAGTGCTGGTCTATAATTATACCTATATATTTGGATGTTTCTGTTTCCTGTATGTCTAAATTTTGACATGTTAATCTTCTAAATTGAGGTCGATCAGCTGTCTTTGAAAAAGCAATGTAGTTTGTTTTATTAACATTCAAAGACAATTTAAAAACATCCAGCCAGTTTTTGACATGTTCCATTCCAGCTATACCAGGTGTTCAAATTAAAGTATTACAGTTAAATACTGCCGAAAATAAGCATTTTAGAAAAAAAAGTTTTATAGTTTTTTGGGGAAAACATTTTGGCTAAAATCATTTTTTTATAGCTGACCATAATGTGGCCATATTGAGGTTGACTTTGTTTTTTTAAATTTCAATTTATTTATGACAGGATTAATTATATAACATGATTAATTACAACAATAAACAAATTATAAATTAATCATAGGTAAATAAGTTAGCACCTAGGTGTGGGCACCTGTATGTGCTAGACAGACTAAAAAACTAATACATAAAGATTAAAAAACTAAAATATAAAGTTAATGTATTTTTATATAAATGTTAAATGTAATAAGGCAGCAATGTTATATTATATAATATGTAATAATGTTATAATCTTGTAATCTACAGGGTTCCAACATATTACAGTGAGATGTGTGTTATTCTAAGAAGAATCTATACAATTTTGAGTAGTTTTGGTAGATGAAGGATTTGCACGCTTTCTTAAATAAATGTTGTTTGTTAATTAATTTGATCTCAGGAGGTAAAGCATTGTAACACTTTGGTCCTAAGTAATTTATACAATTTTTGAAAGATTCACTATTAGGCATAGATATTTTAATATTCAAGTTACTAAAAGTTCTGGTTTTGTGTTGATGACCCAGAGGTTTTTTTAGTACCTCATGTTTTTGTATGTAACAGCATATTGTGTTCATGTATAAACTTCTAACATTAGATATTGTTTCATTATATAGTAGAATAGTAGGATATAATCGCTGTTTGTTGAAGATAATTTTCAGTATTTTATTTTGTATGACATTTAGTGGTCTAAGGGTTGTTTCATATAGGCCTCCCCATACTAGTATACCATAACGTAGAATATATTCTACCAGGCTAAAATATAGGCTTATTAAGAGATTTTGGTTAAGAAATTGTTTTAAAAGATAAAATTTATAGATCATAAATCTAAGCTTTTTTGATATATATATGCTATATGAGAGTCCCATTTTAAATGTTGGTCTATAATTATACCCAAGTATTAATTGGAACCCCATTTTTTGTTTACATATTCTTAAAGTACATAAAAAAAATAAGAAACTTTTGAGGGAAATATTTTTTATTGGACTTTTACTTTTTGAGTAACAACTACTTAAAAATTTTGCTGGGCGAAAAAAAAAGTTGTCCATATTATGGTTAGCTATAAAAAACGATTTTAGCCAAAAAAATTTCCCCACAAAACTATAAAAATTTCGTCTGAAACGTTTTATTTATAAAAGGCGGTATTTAGCTGTAACACTCGGTATATTAAGTTTTCAAATTTCGGACATACATGTACCTAAAACCTAGACAGAATACCCATATTGTTAAATTAAATTAAAAATTATATCTAGCGCTGTGTCTGGAGAAGATGCCCAAGACCGTTCAGATCGCACCATCCTCACCCCATGGGTCAAATTTCTATGGGAATCGTACTGCCAGTGCTTGGAGCTTCTACGTACCAACGCCCACGTAGAAAATCTCTACCATGACATTGCCAGGATGGCCTTCCAATTCTGTTTGAAGTACAACAGGAAAACGGAGTTTAGAAAATTGTGTGACAAATTGAGGAAACATCTTGAGGATATTTGCAAGCTGCCCGCGCAAGTTACCGCTAATGTTTCTATGTCTAAACCAGAGACTCAACAATTGAATCTTGAAACTAGATTGTATCAGCTCGATTTTGCTATTCAGATGGAGCTGTGGCAGGTAAATAATGTGTTATGTTGTTTTTTAAACTTTAAAAGATTAAAGCATTTTTACAATTAGAAAACTTTCAAAATAGTGATAAAAAAGTGCAGATTCATATACTATAACATAACTACAAACACTTTTTTAAATAGTTATCCACATCCACAATGTACACTGAGAAAAATATAGATCTATGGTAATAGTCATATAACTTGGTTTAAATGACATGTAGAGGCTTTTCATTTGCAGATTTCAATTGGGGAGGTTTCAATACATAACAAACACCCGCAATTAACTTTTGCTTCATCTCAGGGGGTGCAATTGGGGTGAAATTAAACAAAAAATTATAGCAGCATCAAATGGCTGTTTACATCTTTCTGCTTGGGATATGTTATGTAGTTTGCTCTTTTCTTCATCCCTGATACCAAGCTGGAGTTTGTCGAGCCGTCTGAGAGGTTGCAATGGGGGGTGAGAATTAAAAAAATCATAGAAGCCACAAATGGCATTGTACACCTTTCTGCTTGAGATATGTTATGTAGTTTGCTCTTTTGTTCATCCCTGATACCATGCTGGAGTTTTTCGAGTCGTCTAAGGGGGTGCAATTAGGGGTGAAATGAAACAAAAAATTATAGCAGCAACAAATGGCTTTCTACACCTTTCTGCTTGGGATAAGTTATGTAGTTTGCTTTTCTTCATCCCTGATATCATGCTGGAGTTTTTCGAGCTGTCTGAGGGGGTGCAATTCGGGGTGAAATTAAAGAAAAAAACATAAATAGTAGTAAATTATAATGTAGGTACATATAAAAAAAATATATCAAAATATACTTCCCAAATAGAAAGGTGTATAAAGCTATTTGTGGCTTCTATGATTTTTTGTTTAATTTCACCCCCTCAGATGGCTTGATAAACTCTAGCATGGTATCAGGGATGAAGAAAAGAGCAAACTACATAACATATCCCAAACAGAAAGGTATACAATGCCATTTGTGGCTTCTTTGATTTTTCTTAAATTTCACCCCCAATTGCACCCCCTCAGAGCGAGCAAAAGTTTATTGCGGGTATGGTTGTTATGTATTGACACCTCCCCAATTGAAATCTGCAAATGAAAAGCCTCTACATGTCATTTGAACCAAGTTATAAAACTATTAAGATAGAGCTATATTTTTCTCAGTGTACATTTGTGGATGTGGATAACTTCACACTCGCCATTGTTCAGGGTACCAATAAATATGTCTTCTTTATTTCTTTCTTTCTTACAATAATAGGAAGCATACAAAGCAATAGAAGACATCCATAACTTGATGAATCTATCCAAGAAGAGTCCAGTCCCCAAAACGATGGCAAACTATTACCAAAAATTAGCTATGGTATTCTGGAAGGCAGGCAACTATCTATTCCACGCGGCTGCTCTGTTCAAGCTCTTCCAATTGTCCAAAGAAATGAAGAAGAACATAACTCAAGAGGAACTACAAAGAATGGCGTGCAGAGTTCTAATCGCCACTCTTGGCATACCTCTACCATCTGCCCATCCTGAATTCGATCGTTTCATCGAAACCGATAAGTCTCCTTTAGAAAAAGCTCAACGTTTAGCAGTTTTGTTAGGTCTGTTCCAACCTCCTACCAGAGCTAGTCTTCTGAAAGATTTGGTTCGCGTTAACGTGGTGAATTTGGCCAGCCCACAGTTGCAGGAACTGTACAATTGGCTGGAAGTGGACTTCCATCCACTGCTTTTGTGCCAAAGAGTGCATGAGGTCATAAAATCGCTGGAAGCTGATGATAATTCTGCTTTGCAACAGTACATACCAGCCTTGCAAGACGTCACTTTGGTACGACTAGTTAGACAGGTAAATGTTTTTATTTTTGCAATTAGTTGTAACAAATGATTGATTGATTAATTTTTTTAAAGATCGCCCAAGTCTATCAAACCATCGAGTTCGCTAGACTGCTTCAAATCGCTAAATTTACTACGCCCTTTCACTTGGAGAGGCTGCTGGTCGACTGCGTCAGACACAATGACATGCAAATCCGTATCGATCACGGCAAACACTGCATACATTTCGGTATGGATTTGAGCGAGAGCCAGCGCGAAGACAAGCCCGAAGGGCCCACATTGCAAGTCATGCCCAGCGAGCAAGTCAGGAACCAGCTCGTTAACATGTCCACCGTCCTTAATCAGGCCATACACATCATCATTCCCAGCAAGAAGAAGGTGAGTTGAAAATAAGTTTATATGTAAATAAAAATTAATTAAATATAAATAAATTAAATATAAATAAATATAAAATAAATTCAAATAAATATAAAATAAATTCAAATAAATCTTAATAAATTCAATCAAATAGAAATAAATTCAAATAAATTCAAATTAATTGAAGTAAATGGAAATAAATTTAAATTAATCCATATAAATTGAAATAAATTCAAATATATTCAAATAAATTCAAATAAATTCAAATAAATTCAAATAAATTCAAATAAATTCAAATAAATTCAAATAAATTCAAATAAATTCAAATAAATTCAAATAAATTCAAATAAATTCAAATAAATTCAAATAAATTCAAATAAATTCAAATAAATTCAAATAAATTCAAATAAATTCAAATAAATTCAAATAAATTTAAGTAAATTTAAATAAATTCAAATACATTTAAATAAATTCAAATAAATGTAAATAAATTTAAATAAATTTAAATAAATTTAAATAAATTTAAATAAATTTAAATACATTTAAATAAATTTAAATAAATTTAAATAAATTTAAATAAATTTAAATAAATTTAAATACATTTAAATAAATTCAAATAAATTTAAATTTAAATAAATTTAAATAAATTCAAATAAATTCAAATAAATTCAAATAAATTTAAATAAATTCAAATAAATTTAAATTTAAATAAATTTAAATAAATTTAAATAAATTCAAATAAATAAGTGAAACTATCTCGATGACCCATCACCTTGACACCATAGTTCCCACTTCAAGTCCTATTCCTACTGTTATTTTCAAAAATGATATACTCGGATCTATAACTGATATTCTCACCTATCTTTGTTAATATTTATCTTCTTTATCCTATATCTGTTGTCATTGCCATTTAAAATACTTTTCAGTTGGAGAGGGAGAAACTTAGAACCGCGATGGTTCACAATTATCACGAAACCAAAGTCAGGGAGCACCAGAAGATCCTTCAAAGACACAAGATCATCGAGGACAGGAAAGAGTACATCGAGAGATTGAATACTGTACGCGAAGAAGAGGAACAAAAGAGGTATGTTTGCGGTCATTTCATATTTTTGCATTACTATTAATAGATATATTCGCCAATTCAAAACATAGAGGTACCAAATTTTATTAGGCAAAATACACTGAAAATATAGAAGAAAAAAAAATAGTGAACAATATTACAAATATTAATAAAAAAAATATTTTCAGTACCTATACTTTCTTGACTGTACCCTGTATGTTTATTAGTTTTTTGGTTTATCTTGCTACTATCATTAATACTCACAGTTTATTTATTTTCACCTAATTGACTCTATTCAATTGGACTTGTCAATGTTGTGAAAATAATTCATTCTTTATCAAGACATTAACAAATATACAAGGCCTTTATTTAGCAATTTGCTATTACATTCAATAATAGTGTATAAAAACAATAAGTTAATACAAATAAAATATCTTCTGGTATATCTGTTAAATGTTTTTCATGATCAGTTATCACCTGTATCAAATTACAATGGATAACAAATTCCTTTAGCATAAATGCACCTACGATTTTGCTGATGCTTAGATCAGCTTATATGAGATTATTTAATGCAGTATTTAAGACATTATTGTTCAGTTCACTCCCATCTTAAAAAGTTAAAATTAGTTTTAATGTGATTAAACATAATTTTAAATAAAAAGATTGTGAGAGAAGACAGTAATATTGTAAAATTATCTTTATTTTATTTATATAGTACACTTTACATGCACTATTTAATTATTTAAATGCCAAAGAAAGATGTTAGAAACAGGTAATAAAATTATGTCAGTAAGCAATGCTTTAGTTCATATAGTTAAAGTTATTCATGGATTGCTATCTAGTTTATTAAAATGTTTGTAAACCTAAAACCACAAATTATAGCTAGTTTTAAAATTTCAAAACACAGTTGGAATTATTTAACACTTGATCGTTAAGAATTAAATATTTATGCTCACATATGTAATGTTTTTCATGTCCTACTTTTGAAACATTTTTTTGTGGATCGTGATTATGTATATAAACATTGTTTTTATACGGCAGTTTCCCTGAAAGGTCTTGTAGTCCCGCAGATGTTTTCCCAAGAAAACCTGATTGAACACTGTTGCTTTCTTTCCATATAAATTTTTAGATTGGAGGAAATGCAGCGCCAGCACATTATGGCCGAACAGAAACGTCTGGAACAAGAACGCGAGGAGCGCGAACGGAAGAGAGCCCTCAACGAGATCCAACAGATAAAAGACAGACATCTGAAAGAGAAATTACACCAGATCAGCCAGACCGGTCACGGGCAGAAGATACTGAAAAAAATGGACGAAGACGTAAGTGGATTGTTGTAAATAAAGGAGAAATAAATAAATTATAGTTAATATATTGTAGGACATAAAGAAATTGGACGCCGATCAAATAGCTGCGAAGGAAGCCGAAGAGTTGCAAAAGGAACGAAGGGAAATGCAGGCCAAATTGAAGTCGCAAGAGAAGAAGGTAGACTATTTCGAGCGCGCCAAGCGTTTGGAGGAAATCCCTCTGCTGCAGGCCAGCATGAAAGAGAGGCAATTGCAGGATCAGAATTTCTGGGAGCAACAAGAAAAAGAAAGGATCGCCGCCGCCATAGAGGAACGTAAATTAGCCGTGGCTACCAGAGATAGGTTGGTACGCATGAAAGTAGACAAGGACGAGTTCTTGAATAAGTTGAAAAAGGAAAGGAATAGCGTCTACGAAGATAAGCTCAAAGAATTCGAGACCACTCTATCTGAAGCTAAGATTAAGAGATTGCAGGAGAGGAGAATGGAAAGAAAGGAAGAGAGACGTGCTAGGTGAGTCATACAACGATTCAAATTCATTTGGAATCAAAATTAAATCGTTTTCTCGTAGGTATTTGAAAGAAAAGCAAGAAGAAGCGGAACGCAGAGAAGAAGAAAGGATACGCCGCGAAGAAGAAGAACAACTAAGGAGAGAAGAGGAGAAACGCAAAGAACGCGAAGAGAAGGAACGCATCCAAAAGGAGGAGCAAGAGAAGGAATTGAAGGAGCGACAGGAAAGGCTCGATAGGAGCGCGAAAATGCAGAGGGAAAGAGAAGAGGAGATTGAAAGGAAAATGGCGAAAGAAAAGGAAATGTCTTCCGATAAATATGTCAAAGATTCGTCTTGGAGACGAGGGGAACCGAGAGGCGAACCAAGAGGTGGCGAACCGAGAGGCGGTGAATCGAGAGGTGGTGAACCGAGAGGAGAACCGCCTAAACGGGAGACGGGATCTTCGTGGAGGAATGATAAATTGGAAGATTCATCTAAAAAACCGGACGCTTGGAAACGTAAGTAGATTTCAACTAAAAAAATTGTTTTTATTTATTTATTTATCAGTACCTGATCTCAATTTATACAGTTTTCATTTAGAACAAATTAAAATAAATGCAAATAAATTGTAGTAAATTGTAATAAATTGAAGTAAATTCAAGTAAATTAAAAAAAAATTGAATTAAATCATTAAAAACTTTTTTTTTCATCCTTTTATTTGAATGCGAATTTTAAGAAATTTCACTTATAACGTGCGTTAGCTAACACACTTTTTCCTATTTATATTTTTCACAAGTTAAATTCGTTTTGGCTTGTAAAGTTTTTACCTTAAACAAGTAACTACTGCAAATTCCAAATAAAACAATATATTTTTTCGTTTGACACGAGCTAAGGCACGATTGCCGATTAACTTTCGCCGCGTTTCCATTTCAGCTTCCCGTCTGCAAGCCAGCAGCGTTGCCGAAACGAAAGACAGCAGCTGGAGGACGGACGACAAAAAGGACGATCGAGGCGACGAGAGACGCGAACCTCGTCGCGAAGGCGCACGAGACGAACGAACGGACGACAGAAAATTCGAACGTCGCGATTTCGGCAGAGACAGGAACATGGATCGCGACAGGAACATGGATCGCGATAGGAACATGGACCGCGATAGGAACATGGATCGCGATAGGAACATGGACCGCGACAGATTCGGCGACAGAGATAGGGAAGGCGGCGGTAGTCGCTTCTCTAGGGATAACAGAGATCGTAGAGACGATAGAGATCGTAAAGATGATAGAGAACGGGGGGAGAGAAAAGACGATTCTTGGCGAACCGTTAGAAAGACAGACGATGATCGTAGGTCAACACCGATGCGAAGCGCGCCTAGAGATGGTCCTCCGGAGTCGGTTTGGAGAACGAACAAGGACAGTGAACGTAAAGAGGAACCGAGTAGAAGGCCACCAATTTCCAGAGAAAAACGTAAGTAATTCACACGTTGGGCGCCAAAATACTGTTGTCCAATATTTTAAACTCGAGTGGATAAAGAGTCGATGTACATTTATTTTTAAATAGTAGTTTTTTGCATAAATGAAGGTTATATGTACCTAAAAGTCCTTATAACTTTGTTGTTTAGATATTATTTTAAATAAAGGAGATAAAGGTGAATATTCAAATAGACTCTTCATTCATTTATGTATTAAATTGTGATTGTATAATTTTAGAAACCTTGATTGCCCCTGTACCTGCACTATATCCCTCTCAAGACCTATTTTTTTTTTTTCAATAATTTAATTTTTTTCCTTTATTTTGTGACAGCCGCTCGTGAGTCGTCCGGTGCCCCAGCAGAGGGAGAGGACGGATGGTCGCAGGTGTCGGGAAGAAGACGTTGATCGTTATCCTACATTATTACGCTTGTTAGTTCGATCTAAAATAAAAAATATAACCGTTTGCTTTTGTTTACAGGTTTTTATGGAAAATGGTAGGTTGATTTATTAATTATGTTTTAATGCAGAGCTGGCGTTTGTTTTTTATTTTAAGAAAGCGCTGTATAGTGGATAACATTTTATTATTAAATTGTCAAGTATATTTATTGGTTTATTATTTGAAGACATTGTTCCTTGTTTGGTTGATAATGAACCATTTTAAAATCGATTATCAAAAACTTCAAAAATGTAGCAACACTTTTTAAAATTGGTCTTTTGCAATCACTAAAAGATATGGGGGTGATTAAATTGAAAAACTGAACCCAAGTACTATATATTAGAGATCAAATCACTGGAGCAAATGATTATTCTCGAAAGACTGCCATTTTTTTAATTTAAATGAAGTGGTTGTACCTCAAAATACTTAATATGACGACCGCATAAGTATTTGTGGTATAAATTGCATAACTACAAATATTTGGGCGTGCTTTATTGTTCGTTGCTGAAATCCATCTGCCCATCTTTTGAAAACATGCTTAAAATTGGTAGATATTGAAAAATAAATCTAGATGAATCAAAATCCAATACTCCTTCAACTTGAACTACTGAACTATATATTAAACTGCATAGAAAAATTTAAACTGGAAAAACAAAGCCGATCAACAAAATCAAGCCACATAGTGAGGTGATATTTGACACTCTGGCGCCCACATGTGCGTATCTAAATGCACTAAAAAGGTACATCAAAATTAAATTTAACACTTATTACATTCAACTACGACACCTTTTAATTTAAGAAAATCACTTAAAAATGATTTTTAATTAATACGCAGCTGAAACAAATGTTCCAGTAATAATAATTATTAACGTAGTACACCCGTGGGAAACGTGACGTAGATGCTCGAAATTGACAGTCTGGCGTCCAAATTGTCATGCGCACCGACCGTGTTTTACACTATTTTACACCCATAGGGTTTATGTCATATAGCCACAGACCTTTTATAATCCAGTATTCAGTTTAATATCAAGGTCAGTGACTTGAACAGCCATTTTATTCTTTCTAATTTTGAAGTTTTACAAAAGCTATCAACTGTGAGGTAATAAAAACAGTGTGTAATTCAAAAGTGAAGCCAGAAGAGCCCTACCATAAAGTAGGGTAACATTCCAATCCTACCCATTGCAAATAATCGTCGAGAACACCAATCAACCTAAACCATAGGCGAATAGTCCTAGTAGCTAAGGCCTACAAAAATTAAAAAGAAGAAAGAGCTGACAACTGACATTTCGATATTACCGTCATCCCGTTAATTGGAGTAGTACTAAATTACCTTCCTCATGTTTTTGCATAAGTTACCTGCCCAAGTCCGACTCAGCCATGGAGGTAGAAGGTACCTTTTAACTCCATGGAGTTGTTAATAAATACGGACCTGAGAATCCCACTGCTGAAGGCCTTTTCTTTTTATCCTAATGGCCTGTTACTTAAGTAGTTATAAAGAAACTTCGGTAAAAGAGAAGAAGAAATCTAACCTACAAAATTCAAAAATGTTGAAACACTACAAAACTCATATTCTACGAAAATGTACTGATATCTTTTGTATACGATCATTTTCATCAGTCAATACCTACGACGTAATAGTAATTGGTGGCGGTCATGCAGGAAGCGAAGCCTGTGCTGCCGCCTCTAGAATGGGGGCCCGAACTCTACTTGTCACTCATAAAAAAGATACCGTAGGTACGATTTTCACACACCAATTTTATTATAGTGTTTGATATTTATTGAAAAATTGTGTGTTTTTTAGGAGAAATGTCTTGCAACCCTTCCTTCGGTGGTATAGGTAAAGGTCATTTGATGAGAGAAGTTGACGCGTTAGACGGAGTTTGTGGTAGAATATGTGATATTTCTGGAATACAGTATAAGGTAAGATTTATTTACTTATGTTCTACCAATTAACTTTTTAATTTGCAGGTGCTTAATAAGAGAAAAGGTCCCGCTGTTTGGGGTTATCGCGCTCAAATTGATCGAGTTATGTACAAACGAAACATGCAAAACGAATTGTTTAGAAATACTTCAAATTTAGATGTTCTAGAGGCTGCTGTAGAGGATCTAATTGTTGATAACTCTACTACCAATGCGTTAGGGGATAGTTGTGTAGAATGCAAAGGTGTAATATTAAGTAAGTTCTGCTTTTTAACACATCGACTTTCATATGTATCACATTTGATACAAAATTCGTCTTCCTGAACCATGAAAGAAATTCCGAAGTTTCTTCTTGTGTAAAGCAAGTAGTTTTGACTTATTTTTTTTTTTTTTTTTTTTTGTTGAAACCAAATTACGATTTTTACATTGGTGAATTAGGGTGAACCGTCCGGTTATTGACCACGTCCTAGTTAATGACCAATATTTACTGATTTATTAAGAATTTTTAATGACCTAAGGCATCATATTATACAGCAAATTGATCCTCACCTAATTCTCAATTTTTTTTATACATTTGACAACCCTGCTTATAATCCGCAGTTTACAAATGTCAGTTAAAAGTGCATGTGTTTTTGTTTCCTTCTCAAGTAACCACAAGTAATTAAAGTAAGTAGAGCTAAGTGTTTTTTATATTGTAAAAAAATTGTATTGGAGTTGTAAAACTGTTATGTTATTTGGACTAAACTGCATAAAAAAATATCAAATTTAGTATTTTTTAGGCTGTAATACTAATATAACCTCAAAAAATATTTATTTTTTAAATGGTCAATAATAGGTAATGCTAAAGCTGAGAAATTCAGTAAATGACCGAATGGAGGAATTTTAAAATAATTTGTTTTGATAATGTACTTTAATCATTATATGGATGCTTCTTTTATGCAAGCATTGTAAATAATGAGGGAATCGACTGGCCTATAGATGACCACTCTTATTTAAATGCTATTCTAGTCATTCACTGGATATTTAGCCTAGTCAATGACTTTTTGCTGTTTATGTATTAAAATATTATTTGTGCAATAAAGCAATTGTGTAACATTTATTTTCAGATGACAGAAGCACTCAAAAGAGCATATACAAAATTTAAGTATTCCATTGAAGATCTAAAAGCTGCAGTGACAGAAGTCCAAGAAGGTGTGACAGGCTTTTGGTTCACCTACTGTGAATCAACGAGTCTGTGTGGCGCTATGATGGTGATTTCCGAATAGAGGTTGCTCAGGCGCCAATTTTGTTATCGCAGTTTGCTCTGCGACCCTGTAGTACACCAGAGTGCACTTATGGTAAACTCAGTGGAGATAAAAATAATTCCAGCTAGTTAAATACTACGGTTCCCGGTATTCATAAGATTTACTGAAAATAAATTATTATATTTGACAACTAGTCAAATCTTACTGGCTCCCTAGATTCGGAAAATTTATTAATAAACTATTTAAATATTGAGGAATAATTACGGTTCGCTAGCACAGGAGGCCAAGCGGTCCGGGAATTATGAAACTCCCTGTATACGGAAAATTTATTAAAAATAAATTAATACACTTGAAAACAATTTAAATATTGAGAAATAATTACGGTTCGCTAGCACAGGAGGCCAAGCGGCCCGGGAATTATGAAGCTCCCTGTATACGGAAAATCTATTAAAATAAATTACTACAATTTGAAAACTAACTAAATCTTAATGGACCTCTGCATTCGGAAAATTTATTAATCAAAACTATTTAAATCGGAAATTATGTACACCCGATATATGGAAGGTATGTTTTTCCAAAATCACGAAATTAAATTAAATATTCTGGTCAAAATAATAAAACGAAAAAAAAAAAAAAATAACGGTAATTAAAACGGAGAAATTAAATTTTTTTAACAAGTGGCTACCAACTGAGAAGTTCATAGAAATGAAAGAAAACGGGTAGTTACGACTCTCCCTGTATACGGAAAATAAAGTTTGCTATTACCACCATTAACTCACAATTTACGTTCAGAGAAAAGGAAAACCTACTATATAATAAAACAAAGTTGTCGGAATCTCCTCGTATCTTAATCTCGAGCGATGTTACGCGGCAATTTTCGTCGACTGAGAAACATGGGTATTTATGCGGTGTTTTGGACGGCGGAGGCGACGATTGTATAAAATAATATTTTGAAATTTGCCCAGAGTCGATCGAGAGCGTGTGTGAATTTAATTTTACAGAAGTCGCCTGGCTTCGTTCAATAACTAATTGTGGACGGGGAACGGAATGATTCAAATACAGCTGAATAAAAAAAATAAAAGAAAAGAAATTAACATGAAGTGAGGCGCAGAAATTAATTTAGACGTCTCTTTGGGAAATTAGATAACGTCGTCAGGAGATAGAGCACTCTAACCCGGAAACGGATCGAACCTCCGAAAAATAAAATAAAAAAAAAATTGAAAACAGGTTGAACCTCTCACTTTGATGTTAAATGGGCGGTTTTTCAGAGAAATTGGATATAGTCGTTCACAATGAGAGCACTCAGAGTCTAGCCTATGTCCAGCCTCAAATAAAAATTGCCAACGGTTTTCCACTGAGGGATGAAATGGAATATCCTGGATATGAATCAAAATTTTTCAATTGTCGCACGGGTGTCCCAACTAATAAAAAAAAATAATATACGGTATCCTACCTTAGAAGATAAACGGGGTTATTCAATGATCTTTCGAAATCACGGCACCCACGGAGTATTTCACTAGGCACTATATAAGGGCGAATAGTTTTTTCGGCTGTCGGCAATTAAGAGGAAGAGCTTACGGCGGCCGGCAATCAAGAGATCGTAATTCCCAGATGTGATTGAATTTGCTTTTCGGTAAACCTGAGTGGGGGATACCACTACTACAGCCGACTGTTTGCAATTTAAAAATAAAAAATGTCCTTCTAGTACCTTGACAAATAAAAGTAGATAATTCATACGAAATCGACTCTACAAAATGCCCATTCGGATTTCGACAAATATAGGAATATTTTAACCTACGAGGGTACTCGCAATTGTTGAAAAACGGTAATTCCTGGGAAACAGAAATACGGGGATCTTCTACATATCCTCAGGCGGGAATTAATTGAAATATACATTTTTAAATTAATTGAGAGCAAAATTTAGTGACTTCGTCACAAAGGAAGAATTAGTGCTACTAAAGCCAGTAAACAATTTAAAATTCCAAAAGGCACTTAAATTAATAAACTGCATGGAAAATCTGATGTTTCAGTAAGAAAGATGGGCCCACCAAGAATCTTGACTGCTCAGGAAGAAGATATTTTGGAGAATTGGATAATCCAAAAAGCAAACATTGGGTTTCCTATGCATCCAGATGAAGTGAAAGATGCCGTACAAAAGGTAATGGAAGAAACCCAGCGTCCTAATCCAACAACAACCGTCCCGGTGATAAATGGCTAAAATGATTTTTAAAAGTAAAGCCAGATATTGAGAAAAAATGCTGAAATTATTTCCAAAGCTAGAGCTAGCGTCACTGAGAAAGATATCAGAAAGTGGTTTTAGGATCTTAAAAGTTATTTAATAGAAGAAGATGCTGTTGATGTTCTTGAAGATGCTGATCACGTCTATAATGCTGATGAGACTGGGGTGCAATTATGCCCCAAAACAGGACAGGTGCTAGGGTCAAAACATTTTAGAAATTTTTATGATGTTGCTGTCAAGAAAGTGTCCCGGAGATTAGCCAAAAAAATGAAAATATATGTGAACAAATTGAGGAAGAAATGGAACATGTAGAAAACCAAGACAATACTCAAAATAAAAGCATCCCAATTGAAAATCAAAATGAGGAAAATGACGAGTCAAAAGAAACACAATTGGATTTAAATTTTAGCTCAAAAAAATCTCTCTGGAAGGAACACTTACACTTTCCAAAGTTGGAAATTGCCACTAAAAAGTGTTAAAGAAAAAACCCCTTGGGCAATAACTTGAAAATATTGGAAAGAATATCATGAGAAGAAAGAAGAGCAAAACAGAATTGCTGAAGAATTAAAAGAGCAAAGAAAAAAGTTACAGAGGAAAAAAAACGTAGACGTGAAGAATTAAACAAAAATAAAGAAAATAGACCAAAAAAAGTTAAAGAGAAGAAAATCTTCTTCAAGTTCAAGTGATTTGAATATTTCAGATGAAGAATCTTTAGAGGAAAATGAACAAGAAACCAGGATGAAAATGAAATCAATAAATCTATGCTAATCAAATATGAGAACAGTTATTTTTCCGATTTGTTATACGAAAACAAAAAGGAGAATATGAAGTGCGAGTCATGTGTAAAAATGCACAAAATTGGAAATGCTCAGAAAAAAATGACCAAATATGGTATAAAGAGGATTTCATTAAAAAGATTGAACCATCAATGCTGATATGTAGTCGAGAAATGTGTATTTAGTTCCTGAAATGGAAAAGTATGAAACATTGCTTTAATTTTTTTAAACTAAGTAATTATGTTTTCTTTTAGACAATAAAGTAGTTTTGTAGTCATTTACTGGTATTTTATTTGGTCAATTACTCAAAGGAACTGGTCATTTACTAGGATTTTATGCATTATATCTTAAAAATTATCGAATATTTTAAAGAAATAAACATGTTTACATTTTTATGTTAAAAAAGTTAAATTAGTAAACAAATTCATCCAGATATTCCTTGCTTTTTCTGTTAAAAACAAAACGAACATTTTACAAATACGTATATAACACTGTTGCCTAACGTTGTCATTAACTGGACGGTTCACCCTACTTTAATTTGGAACCATACATTTTTAAAACTGATTGTAATAATGTACTTGGTACAGAAGGGATCCCAATCGAACATATCACCAGTGACTCATATATGGTAACACAAACGATAATCCTAAAATTTGATTTGGGAAACAAATGATAAATATTCTGCTATTGTTTTTTTTATATTAATAGAAAATGGAAGGAAGGTGTACTCTAATAGTGTTGTAATAACAACTGGAACGTTTTTAAATGGCCACATAAATCTTGGGTTGAAAATTATCCCTGCTGGAAGAATTGGAGATGAACCATCAATAGGTTTGTTAAAACTCTTGTTCTTAAATTTGGAGTTGTAGATATCTTTTCTTTATTTGATCAAATACATTCAATACATACAATCTTTTAGGATTGGCAAAAACTTTGGAGCGATTAAAATTAAGAATGGGCAGATTAAAGACTGGAACGCCTCCCAGATTGAAAGCAGATACAATCGATTACAGTGTATGTGAGGCACAAGATGGAGATAATCCACCATTGCCCTTTTCTTTCATGAATGAGAAGGTCTGGATAAAGGTCAGTAGGAACTGATATATTTTCAGTATAAATCGAACCCTAATATCCTGTCATGTAATATTTTTGTTAGTTTTTTCTTTTTTTGCTATGAAAGTATATTTTTGAATATAGTCGTTCATCCTTGAGCATAATTAATTTTATTATCTTTCCTAAAAAAAATGAAAAATTATATATTACAGCCAGAAGATCAGTTGAAGTGCTATTTAACCAAAACGACACTAGCTTTAGAAAAAGTTGTGAAGGACAATTTGCATGTAAACAGACACGTTATGGAGGAAATAAGAGGGCCGAGATACTGTCCCAGTATAGAATCTAAAGTACTGAAATTTTCGGGACGAGAACATCAGGTGTGGTTAGAACCTGAAGGTCTTACCAGCGACATTATATACCCAAATGGTTTATCTTGTACATTGCCTGAAGAATTGCAGTGGGATCTCATAAGGAATATACGTGGTAACTATCTGCACATAATTTTAGAAAAATCAAAATTATTAAAAAGAAAAATGGAATTTCTTTTAGGTTTAGAGAATGCTGTGATAGTTAGGCCGGGTTATGGAGTAGAGTATGATTATGTGGATCCCAGGGAACTTATGCCGACTCTGGAGGTGAAAAGAGTTGACGGTTTGTTTTTAGCTGGTCAAATTAACGGCACTACTGGATACGAAGAGGCCGCCGCTCAGGGAATATTAGCTGGAATAAACGCAGGCGCAAAGGTAGAAGTGTAACAATTTCGCATTTTGCTTTAACAATGAGACAACTCAAAATTAACATCTTTTGAGTACAATTTGTTTTAAGTTTTTTATGGCATTAACTTAAAAGATGCGAATTTTGAGTTGAGTGACTTTTGAAACAAAGATGCGATTTATCAAAATAACTTTAAAAAAATAGTAAAATGAGATTATCTTTTTACTTTCAGGCTTTAAAAAGAAATCCTCTCTTAATAAGCAGAACGGAAGGTTACATAGGCGTAATGGTAGATGATTTGACGACCCTCGGCACTACAGAACCCTACAGAATGTTCACCAGTCGCGCTGAATTCAGATTGACCCTTCGTCCTGACAATGCTGATCAGAGATTGACTGCCAAAGGGTTTCAAGTCGGGTGTGTCAGTAAAGAAAGATATGATAAAACGTTGAAAGTGCAGCGAGAGCTCCACGACGGCATAGAATTGTTAAAAAACGTTACCAGAACGGCGAGTTATTGGAGGAAGCAACTGGGGTTGGCTCCGAGCAAAAGTAATCTTCAAAAAAGGTAAATTGATTGTTTTCTTCGATACGTTCCTTTTTTACAATCGATTATTTATTATTTAATCGATTATTTTTTTTATAGAATTCATTATTTTTTTATATAATCGATTTATTTTTAAATAAATGATTATTTTTCGTTTTTATTCTAGTGCTTTCACTATGATAGACGTATCCAATGAGAAAGTAACCATTAGTATGCTAGCGAAAGTAGCCCCAGAATTGGCAGATCTCGCTCGGGATTTTTCTTTAGAAAATCGGCTTCATATTGAAGCGACATACGAAGCTGCCGCCGAAGATCAGGCCGAAGAAGTGCGCGAAGTACGGCAAAACGAATCGCTTATTATTCCCAGAAATATGGATTACGCGTCGGAGTCTCTGAGCCTCAGTTTCGAGGAGAGAGAAAAACTATTGACTGTCCAACCTCAAACGGTGAGTATTGTTATACTAGTATTTAATAAATTCAATTTAATTCCAAACTCAAACTTTTACAATTAATGTACAATGGCTATCATAAAAACAATGTTCGTCAAATATCAAAGGGTTGTCATGTCATTTGTCAGATGTCAAACTAGAAAAAACGTTCCAGAATAAAGGTAATAATCTTCTAAAGTGTTTTATTCAACTAATTACATATGTATAATAAGTACCAATACCAATACATAAAGAAATTTGTATTTTTTTGGTTTGTTTTCACATGATTGTTCGATTTTGTTTCAGATCGCAGCGGCAAGTCGAATTCCTGGTGTCACACCATCGTCACTATTCAGGTTATTGAGATTTGTGAAACAACAAGATGTAAGGACGCTTTGAATATTTTTTTAGCCCTTTTTACTACCTCAATTAAAAAAAAAGCAATTATATTGCATTTTCAATGCCTTATTTTGACAATTGACAATTTTGACAAGCTCTACTCAAATAGCATGCAGTTTAAAGGTGAAAACTTAAGAAGCAAACTTTAAAAATATTTCACACCAATGCTATACATATTATAATAATAATTATAAACTCTTTTTTTTTTTGGATAAATAATATAAACAATTTGTTTTACTGAAATCACTTTCAGTCGTTTATTTTAATCAGTATACCTATAAAAATATTAAAAATCGTAAGAACATATATTTTTGTATCCTTTTAAACGTAGAGAATATAAACGTTACAAAGAAGAAAAAATATTTTGTACATTATACTACAAAAAAAATTATTCCGATTCTTCATCAAATCAAAACCGAAATTTACTATTTTTAATAAATTATTCAGTTACTTATATATAATAATTTTTTTTAAGTACAATTCTGTAACGTAATATCAGATTCGATTCCTCTAAGTTCTTTGTTCAAAGTTTTTAATAGCGGATGATGGCCGCATTCGCATCTATTTCTAAAATCGTCCAAATCCAACGCCCATACCATCCCACCGCCTAGACCCCAGTCTTTCATCAGCTTCGCTTTTCTTCTCACTTCTGAAATATCATCGTAGGACACCCATTGATTACCGTGCGACGCGTAAGGACCTATCCTTCCTTCGGGATCTCGAGAGACGGTCCATCCGCGTTTTTTAACCCTTTCGCAAATCTGAAAAATGACATAATGTTTATAAAAAAAAAACGTGACTCAAATAAATGATATTGAGTTATTATAGATTTTTCAATCGATAATCAATTTGGGCTGAATCCTGATCTGTTTAACTTTAAAACTTGTTGAAATTTTAAAGTGTTGTTTTCAAAATTATATTTCTACACATTTCCTAAATATTTTGTCAAATTTTGAAGTCTGTAGATCAATTAATATTGAAATGGTGATGAAATAAAGGCAATATCAAGTTGGTAAAAAATCCAAGTTCAACTTTGATACCTTGTAACTTTAAAACCTGTTGAAATTTTAAAATGTAGTTTTCAAAATTATATTTCTACACATTTCATTAACATTTTGTCAAATTCTGAAGTCTATAGATCAATTGGTATTAAAATGGTGATGAAATAAAAGCAATATCAAGTTGTTAACAAATCTCAATAGATTACAGACATCTACGTGACAAATGTTTGACATTATATTGACTTTTTTTGACGGCTACGTTATAACTTATCCTTATATTGACATTTCTTTGACAGCTACGTTAAAATGACTGTTCCTTAGGGTATGGTCCGTTATTAACCGAAATATCGGTTACTCGGTCCAAAACTAACCACTATACTTGACAGTTCTGAAAAATCGGTTAAATTAGGGACGCGGTTACCTGAAAATGGTGACTCAAACGTTAATTCACTAACCGATATATTTTTACGGTTTCCATTAAGTCAGATGTCAATCTGTCACAAAATTGAGGCAACTCTTATTCGTGGTCCTAAGGCAACCAACAAATTAGTTCTTTTCAGGAACCGTTATCAAAAATTCATGGTTAGTGATCGGTTAATATCGGACTATACCCCAGTAGAAGTAATTTTACAATAGCAACAGCTTGTGTCGACTCCTTTGATATCGGAGTAGTCAGATTTTTATTGACAGATGACATTTTTGCCGCTTATTTCTACACTGAGAAAACTTGTATCCCTTTATCTATTTGAATAAAATATCATACAATAAATGAAAGAAAAAAACTAAGTCTAAATATAATAACAATGTATTAAAATGTGTATTACAATCAATCAAATAATCAAAACAATGAACGACCATTAATCCATTGACAATCAACGTATGCCAGTTTAACGTATTTGCCGCTTATTTACGGACATGCGCAGAAAATTATGAATCCCTCATAAACATAGAACTGTCGCTACTGTATCATTACTTATACAGGGACTATACTCTTATTCTTCTATTGACATTTCTTTGACAACTACTTTAAAATGACTTATCCTTAAATTGATATGTCTCACTGATTAGACAGATCGTTAAACACAGAGGCGGAGTGGCGTTAACAATGAATTTAAATATGTACTTACTTCGTAGAAAGCTAAAAATCCGCCGGCTCTCGTAAATTCTCCTGCTTCGCCTGGACCGTACGTTTTTTCGTTCAGACCTCTGCTACTCGATTCAGCCAAAGTAAATGATTGTCCGTACAGCGGTAGTCCCATAATTAATTTTTCCGGCGTAGCTCCTTTCGATATCCAGTAATGGATAGTGAAATTCTACAATAAAAATAGAATCTAATAAACCAATACATATTGTGACGATAGTCTAATTTATTTTTAGTTTATTTATTTAGAAACACACTATTTACAGTTTATTTCAGACGTACTATTTAATTTATATAATAAATAACAATTCTAATTTATTTCTTACACTTTAACTTTTCAATAAAATGTTCTATATCTCATTAGAAATCTTCACTTGTGGTTTGACTGTAAGTCTTCTACCATTCTGATGTGCCAGTATTCCTTTAACCCCTTACGATTACAAGAAGTAAATTTTGAACAATGACTAGATTATCTGTTGAGGCAGACTGAGTTTGAAGTCTAGGGAGTCCAATCTCTAATGGACTGACCAGTATATCAAACTGTCTATAATCAACTGACCGCCATCTTCACACACGCGATATTTATATCAAGCCAACTCTGTAACCAGAATAATCCCGATGGTCGGGAAAATTCCAATTCTGACTCAACGGCACACTCCGTCCGTTCTACCAGTTTCTCGAGCCTCAGCGACATTCCCAGAATATTCCATCGCCTCTAGCATGAATCGGCTGCCCAGACATGAAGGCCGCGTGCTTAGACAGAGTCGGACTTAATAATTTCATGACAATATTTCGTACGTTATTCGATTATTTCGCGAAAAAAACGCAGGACTTTTGAATCTAAAAACCTTTAACAAAAATAAAGCTTACCGTATTGAAGTAATCATAAGTATCGCCAGGGTAATAATACAATGGTGCCACATGTCCAGTTTGTTTATCCCAATGACCGTGGAAATCGTAGGTCATAATGGCTATCCAATCGAAATAACTATTCAACGAAGCCACATCATAGCCCGCGTCTATTACGGTTTTACTCGGTGAAACCGCAGTCGAAAGCAACAGTCCTCGAGGTTTGAAACTAGCGCTCAATTCTCTGACTAGACTAACGAATCCTTCTTTGTCTGAATCGGGGCCTTTATTGCAGTCCACCTAAAAGAAAAATAAATATGCATTAAATGAACACATTATAGCATAATTCACAATATTATTAACCATCTTTTAAGTTACTTATATGATGTAAAACCTTAAAAATGTTCTTTACGTGAATGTCCAACAGAATTAAGTGGTATTTTACAACTATAAGAATAGGAATAAATGAAAAGAAAAATAGTTATCACACTCACTTGCCAACACTTTGGATACTCCCAATCGAGGTCCAAACCATCGAATCCCCATTTTTCTATGAATTCTATAACGTTAGTTACAAATCTAGATATCGCTTGTGGATTATTGACGAGTCTTGAATATTTGTCACCAAGCGAATCATTCCACCCCCCAATCGCGATGAGAACTTTGATTCCTTTGGATTTGTATTCGACAACTTTCTTGTAAAAATCTAAAAATTTATTGGTATAAATCAAAATTAGTACCCATGGTGATGTCTTCGGTTCAAATCAAAAACATACGCATAAAATGTAGAACTTTAATTTTTATACATTTACCATTGTCAATATCAGCCCAAGAATCATGCGGTTTAATCGTCAGAGTCCCCGAATCCAAAACGGCAAACCCATAATTGATATGCGTACATAAATCAGGATTTATATCGGAGGGGAGATATTTACCATCACCTTGTCTAAAACAAAGATAGATATTACATCAAAATAAACAATACCGATCTGTAAACAATTAATATTTACCTGTACCATGCCCAATTGGTGAAGTAACAAACAACCTTTAGTCCATCGTCATGTACAAAACCATCAGTTCCGGGATAAGGAGGCCTTGTGGGCAAATTATCAACCGAAGGTCGAACAGTATCTGACACCTCGGTAGATTCATCTATCGGAGCGGTAGTACTGCCGTCGGGATGGCACTGCGTATTTTCCGGCCAATCGCAATGGTCTTTGTTCCAGTATAGATTGTTCGGACACGTTTGAATCTGCAGCTGACCTTGGTTGCACACGTAGTATTGGTTGCAGTTGCTGTCATGGGATACAAATAATCGACCGCTACAAGGTAGGATCGGTTCTAAATCATTTCCTGGTTTTTCTGTTACTATAGGAGGTGAAGGAGGAACAGAAGATGTTTCAATCGAAGGTATAGTAACCGGTTTTTTTGTTGGTTTGCTTGGTTTACCTAAATTAAATAATAGTATTTGGTTTAGTGTAATTGGGTCAAACATTGGAGTCAAATACTGCATTCAAATAATGATATCAACACTGGAGTCAAATACTGGGGTCAAATATTGGAGTCTAATACTAGAGTCAAATACTGGAGTCAAATACTGGAATTAAATACTGGCGTCAAATACTGAAGTCAAATAATGGAGTTAGTTAAATACTGGAGTCAAATACTGTAGTCAAATACTGTAGTCAAATACTGAAGTCGAATACTGGAGTTAAACACTGGAGTCAAATACTGAAGTCAAATAATGGAGTTAGTTAAATACTGGAGTCAAATACTGTAGTCAAATACTGTAGTCAAATACTGTAGTCAAATACTGAAGTCGAATACTGGAGTTAAACACTGGAGTCAAATACTGAAGTCAAATAATGGAGTTAGTTAAATACTGGAGTCAAATACTGTAGTCAAATACTGAAGTCGAATACTGGAGTTAAACACTGGAGTCAAATACTGAAGTCAAATACTGAAGTCAAATACTGGAGTCAAATCATAGTCAAACGCAAAAAAGCGCGTCCTATGTCAAAAAAAAGTAGCAGTTGACATTCAATGCACGCTTTTTTGACATACATTCAGGATAATGCTTTTGTTAAAGAAATAAAACATATTTTACCTAAAACGCATTTAGGATCAGGTCTTCTGTAATTCCTTAGAACCCTGTTAATGGTTCGCAGCAAAGGATATTGTTCGCAGCCACACAAATTTCCGAAATCGTCCAAATCCAATGCCCATATCATGCCGCCACCTAAACCCATTGCTCTGATGTACTCTGATTTGTGTCTGATCATTCCTATGTCGTCGAACGATACCCATTGGTCTCTATGGTAGGCGTAGGGACCCATTCTACCTTTCGAATCTCTGACTACGGTCCAACCTTTGTGGAGAATGTTACGGCAAATCTATATAGGTACGATTATATAAAAAATTAACGACTTTATTTCTTTCAGCTAGGTACTTACATTTTATATATTGAAAAATGAACTTTACCTCGTAATATGATAAAAATCCTCTTGCTCTTGTTTCTTCGCCAGCCTCTCCTCCTCCATAGGTTGGAGCGTTTAATCCGTAATTGGAGTTATCGCTTAGTGAAAACGATTGGCCGTACATAGGCATGCCCATCACAAGTTTTTTCCTGTCTGCACCGTTTTCTATCCAATAATTGATTGTGAAGTTCTAAAATAACAGGATTAGTTTTGAAAATATCTGTTATTTCATTATAAAATTAAAATGAAATGTGTTTTTACCCAGAACTTGCCTAAAAATGGTAAATACAAGGAACTCCAATAAGGGGTATTTTAAAATTTTAGGTACCTACTAATTTTACAATATCTTCTTCTCTCCATCAATCTTTCTCTTGAACGATAATGATCGGCTGCTTTTAAAATAGTCCAGTTACACCATTTTGAATATTTATCTTTGACTTGTATCACAAATTTAAATTAATGGTTTAAACACTTACCGTATTAAAAGTATCATCAACGTCTTCAGGATGATTGTACATGGGCGACACGTGACCAGTGATTTTTTCCCATTGCCCGTGATAATCGTAGCACATAACCGCAATCCAGTCCAAATATTTGGATAGAACCGGTACATCGTATCCAGCATCAATCACCCTTTTGCTAGGCGATACTGCCGACGATAACAACCATCCCCTCGGTTTGAACACTTCTGATAACTCTTCGACGAAGGCAGCAAAAGCGGCCTTATCAGTAACGGGACCTTTGTTGCAATCTACCTGAGGAAAAGACAAGAACAAGTCGATAAAAATCTACAAGGAATAGTAATGTAATGCGAGTCATTTTTAATTAGGCCGGTCCTGTCTATAATGGTCACGGCTAGATTGCACTGGACCCTTCGATATATGATAATAACGAAATTACAGATTCTAATGCATGCCCGAGTGTAGAAGAAAGTGGAGGTGTCCATTTTTAGTCAAAAGACGTCTAGAATTTTCATGAACCAGTCTGGAGCGCCATATTTTTATATAAATAGGCTGTTTTGCTGTAAACCTGTCAGTTTTAGTCAAGACATCGTTAATATATAAATTATTGTACAAATAAAATATATTGCACCCATCTTATACCTATCTGGAGCGTCACATTTTTATATAAATAGGCTGTTTTGCTGTAGAGTAGTCAGTTTTAGTTAAAAAATTGTCAATATGTAAATTAATGTACAAAGAAAATAAATTAAATACCAAAGACTCGCGTATACGTACTTGCCAACATTTGGGATACTCCCAATCCAAATCCAAACCGTCAAAGTTATTTTCCTGAATGAAATCTGTGACATGGGCTATGAAGCGCCTCCTAGCTGAAGCACTGTTAACCAATTTCGAATATTTATCGCCTTCTGAATCGTTCCAACCGCCAATGGCGATCAAGACTTTGATACCTTTGGATTTAAATGCAGTCACCTTTTCGTAGAATTCTGAAAACAAATTAAAATACACTATTGGTATTCCTTTTTTACTAAATACAAATTTAGACGTACTGTTGTCGAAATCGGCCCAGCTATCGTGCGGTTTGATGACCAATTCGTCTCCATTTAAAACGGCGAACCCATAAACTATGTGGGTGCATAAATCTGGATCGATATCGCCTGGAACGTATTTACCCACACCTTGTCTGTACCAAGCCCAGTTGGTGAAGTAGCACACCACTTTGAACTCGGAATTAGAGTCTGTAAGCGGTTCTAATTCTGTAATAGGAAGTTTTTCTTTTTCGCCGTCATTTGAGTTTTCTTCTTCGATAATAACTGGCTCAGCTTCCTTAATTATACAAAAAAAAAAACAATCATTGATCCAAAAAAACTTTTATTTACTGAAATAATCATATACCTCTAGTTTAGAAGGAACGAGGTCATCGATGGACTGTTGCTGACCCGTACCAGGATCAGCTAAAGTATTTCTGATTATGGTTAGCAATGGATGTCTGCCTTGACCGCACCTGTTTTTGAAATCGTCTAAATCCAGGGCCCAAATCATACCGCCTAGAAACACAAAAAGAGAAATCCATGTATTACCTCTTGTGGCCTACAACCTTCATACTAACCTCCCAAATCTAATTTTCTTATAAACTCCGATTTCTTCTTAATCATCTCTCTATCGTCGAACGACACCCATTGGTTTCCTTTATAAGCATACGGACCCATCCTGCCTAGAGGATCTTGAACAACAGTCCACGTTTTATCTTGTATGTAGTGACATATTTCGTAGTAAGCCAAAAATCCGGCAGCTCGCGTAAATTCGCCAGCTTCACCGGGTCCCGGAGCCTTGGCGTTAAGACCATGTTCGGATTCTTTCTCTAAACGGAACGATTGACCGTACATGGGCATACCCATGATGATCTTTCTGCGAGGCACGCCTTCGGAAATCCAGTAATGAATCGAGAAGTTCTGGAGAAGAATAATAGAAATGGCATCGGTATCTTTACAATACACCTAAGAACTTACTGAATTGAAGAAAGCAACTTCGTCTTCAGGATGGTAGAATAACGGAGCAACGTGTCCTGTTTGTTTGTCCCATTGACCATGAAAATCGTACGTCATCACTGCGATCCAATCTAAATATTTGGCGATTTTTGGTACGTCATATCCGGCGTCAATGACGGTTTTACTTGGGGACACGGCCGATGACAATAAGTAGCCTTTGGGTTCGAAAGCTTCCTTTATTTCTTTAACGAACTCAGCGAACGCAGGTTTATCCGAGTCAGGACCTTTTTTACAATCGACCTGAAATTAATTAAATTGATAAAAATATCAATACGAGTGGCATCCTTTTAACTCACCTGCCAACATTTGGGATACTCCCAATCTAAATCTAATCCATCGAATCCGTACTTGTCCAAAAATTTCAAAATGTGCTCGATGAATCGTCTTCTGGCGGCAGGATTGTTGACCAGTTTTGAATATTTATCGCCAAGAGAATCATTCCATCCTCCAATAGCGATTGAGACTTTAACGCCTTTCGATTTGTATTCGATAACTCTTTTATAGAATTCTGAAAAAATTACCAACTAATTTAAAGCTGGTTTTACCTCAACATTGTCCGCAAAGTAATGTTAATAATAGTACATATTGTAGCCAACAAAAAAGGCGACGTACCATTTTTTTGCAGTCAGTTGAGGGACTATTTAAAAATGTCTGATATTTTTAGTAGTTTTAATCTTGTTAATGTCTAAAAATATAAGAACGCTGTCCATATCTAAAGACTCCACGTTTATTGTACAGCTATTAGCACTAAATTAGTTTCTAAAATCGTTGAAATTACTTTCTAATGTAGACGATATTTAAATTTAAGAAATACTCGCCCTGTATATGACGCTGATTGTAATGTTCCAAGTATTTGTAAACGGCTGAATCACCGAATGATTGTTTTGTGTTGAGTTAGTTGATTATAAATCGTTGTTTCGATCACACGCGCGTTTTATTTTAGTGGAATATTTATTACACTAAGTTCCTAATTTCGCCGCTAGCGAGTGTAATTTCATGGCCATGAAAAATTTTTTTTAATTGTATACACGACCCCTGGTACCGGCCCTGTTCGTAATTCTTGTCAAACAAGTGCTGCTATCTATCGAGTAACAGGTGACAATTGAGAACGCGGTTTAGTTTGGTTTAGTACGGGATCAATATTTATCGATATCATAATTTAGTTCTTGTTAGTGTAATAGTGTTAATATTTCATATACATCAATGTTTTGTTCACTTAATACAATGCAGTTTATTAGTATTATCAATACTCGATGTTTTATTTTACGTTGTAAATCGGATATCCCAACGTTCGGTCGAAGTCATCATCGAAAAACTAAAACTTTTGTGAATTCTGGACAAAATGTGAACTTTTAGTTACGTGTATTAAGTGAAAATAAGACTATTTGTATGAATATCTGTTGGCGAGGGCATTGATTCTACAAACGGTAAGTTCATTTCAATTTTATTCTTGGAATCATCAACTGTTACTAGTCAATTTCTTAGATTCACTGATCACACTGATTTTCTCGTTTCTCAAGTACCAAAAGACTTGTGAACATATACTAAAGAATATAGATAGTGAATAATTAGTAACTACATTTTTTATTATAAAGATTGTTGCAAAATTCTTGCTAAATCTGAATATCCGAAGCATCCATTTGCAAAGTTTGCTTTGAACCGAATCATAGAACAACAATCGCAGAACACAGAATTTACATTCTGTCAACCGTGGAGGCGTGGATTATCGATCCGGAATTCCGACGTTGCCACGTTTCAAACTTTTTATGATTTAAAAAAAAACTGAATTTGTGCATGGCGCTGTTGCCAGAATGTTTGCAATATAAAAATTTTACAGATTTCATATTTTTTAAGCAAAATGCCTTAGCAAAAAAAGATTAAAGGATTTTGAAATTAAATTTCTATGGCCTTGAACTTTAAATTAGTTTTAGTACTTTGCATTTCAAATATTTTTAACATCCTAAAAGACATTATACTTACGATTATCAAAATCAGCCCAGGAATCGTGCGCTTTGATGATATAGTTGGAATAGTCGAGTACGGCGAACCCGTAGACAATATGCGTACATAGATCCGCATCGATATCTTCTGGTAAATATTTACCAATACCGGGTCGGTACCAAGCCCAGTTAGTGAAGTAACAAACGATTTTGAAATAGCCCGACAACGGCTTCAGTGGTTCCGGTAAAGGTGGTTTTTCCGATGTCGGAGGAATGGGTGGGTGCCACTCCCAATTGTTTTCTGAAATATAACTTCCGGAGGTTAAATTATCGATCTTGGTAGGTATTTAGATATGTTTCACCTTCGGATGATTCTGTGGAGGATGGCGGTGTCCATGTCCATTCTGTAGTACTAGGTGGTGTCCATTGCGGAGGTTGGACTGTAGCGGATTGTGGCGGTCTGTCCCATGGATTTGATTCGGATTCAGGACGAGGATCCGGGTCTAGTTCGTTAGTGTCCGTTTCTTCTGTACAGTGCGCGTTTTGCGGCCAATCGCATAGTTTCTTTTCCTGCATTTAAAATATATGACGAATTAATGAAATGGTTATCACAGGTTCCAAGTTACTTACATTATTCCAATGTAATCCAGGAGCGCATTCGCGAATATCATATTTACCCCATTGACAATGCATATATTGATTACAGCTACCTGGTAATGCTGCAAAACTATTTCCATCACAACTCGAATACGGTTGGGGATCTGTTAATAAAACCAACATTAAAACTGACCTAAAATAAATTCGTAAACATGTATACGTACGTTGTCCGAGGAATCTGTCATGAATAATTGTAAATTTCTGTGCCATTTTCTTCCTATTGGTGCACTTGACCTTGAACGTCCAGTCGCACATACCCTTTTGAGCGTTAAAGTTAAGTCCAGGAGCACAAGATTGCTCCACCAATCTATTGTTGAAACACACATAAAAATGGTTGCAAAGTTCATGGGGATAATAAGCACCAGATTCGCAAGAATCGTCAGTAACTAGCGCCTGAGTTGTAGTTCTGCTAGTAGTTGTAGTTCTGCTAGTAGTTGTAGTTGTCCTTCGAGTGGTCTGCCAAGACGCCGTAGTCGAAGGTTTTCTAGTAGGTTTATTTGTTGGTGGAGGAGTTTGGTAAGCTGAAATGGCCAGCAATATTTTATAATTTTGTATTCCAAAGTCGTCCTACTTTGCCAGGTAGAATAACAAGAGCAGTTTCAGGAAGACCAAGAAGAACATTGATACAAATTAAAAGAGAAAAAAGGTGTATAAGAGACCAGTGAATCCTTTTCCCACTTCTGAAAAGGCAGAAGGAACTCGAGAAGAGAAGTATTCCAAAGTCCTCTTACTTACCATTCTCCTCTTTGCATTTAGCTTCCTTGGGCCAATCGCATATACGCTGTTCTTTGTTCCAGTGCAATCCGCCTGCGCAGTACTGTTTTCTGAGTTCTCCCGCAACACATCTGTAAAAAACGTTGCAATTCATGGTATCGGGCAAATATTCTCCTGGTTCACATTTTTTAGGAGGCACGTCAATCTCCGGACTGATTACTGCCGGCGGTGGAATAATAATTGGCTCTTCAGTAGGGTATGCTGGTTCTATCGGCCATCTTGTTGTCGTTCTGTAGATATGTAACAAATTATTTGAATCTCCAAAATGTACTTGTGTGTTACAAAGGTGCTTACCTCGTTGTTGTAGATTTGGTAGTCATCCACCATAGTGGAGTAGTACTAGGTCTACTAGGTTTGCTTGTAGTCGATTGGGTGCTCCACCAAGTACTCGCGGTAGTTGGATTTTGCCACCAAGGCGTCGTAGGTTTACTAGTTGTACTATCGGTTGTACTCCACCAAGCCGATGTTGTGGTTTTTCTAGTAGTAGAAGTAGTTTCCTCTTCGTGATTGTGATGATGATGATGTTCATTATTCGCTCCGGAATCCACGCCGGTGGTAGTCAATGGAGGGGCAGGTGTAGATGGAGATGGGGGTTTGGTACAGTCTGTTTTAGCGGGCTTATCTGGTATAAGTCCTAATTCGTTGTTAATGGTTTTTAATAGAGGGAATGATCCATCGCAGCATCTGTTATTAAAGTCGTCTAAATCTATCGTCCAAGCGACGGCGCCTCCGAATCCTCGTGATTTGATGTAGGAAGTCTAAAATAAATGCCAAGATTGTATTTTGATAGATAAAAACATTAATTTAATAATAGAATAAAATGTAGCAAAAAAATAGTATATGTAGGTATTATGTGGCGATTCAAATTGAGCATCTACTTAGATATTTCTAACACATTCTGTCTTAAATTCATGATAAATATTACAAAAGCGAACACTACTTCTTGATCTCAGATCCCTTTGTATACTACACAAGTTAGGAAAAAATATAAACTAGGTTTAAATAATTTTTAACTTGATAAACATTTAATGAGCGTTAAAGGTGTAGGAAAGGTGTAGTTTTTGTATAAGATAAGAAAAATACATACCGGTTGAAAAACATTAACACATGCAAAAAAAACTAAACCTAATTCATAAAAATGCATCTTATTGACGAGATTTACTTCTGTACTACCATTGAAACGATTAGGTACATTTAGGTATCATCCATTTTTATACTATGATGTATTACTAATAAGAATATTTGTTTATAGATAAATTTGAAGATTTATTTAATATATTTCATTCTAATATCCGATGATTAATAAATACATTTAGCATTAAACTTTTGTTTGTAATTTGTAACTAGGTAATTGATGCTATCTAAAGGTGAGGACTAATGGGAAACCTTCTAATAGGAGAATAACTGGAAATTTAAGTCAGCTAGACATTTAATGGGATTTTTAATTAGAATTCCGATATAATAGAAAGTTTTTTTTTACTATTTTTTTGATAGATTATTATTATTATTATTATTATTATAGATACAAACAAAATTTACTGTATTTTTCGTTTAAAATAAAATAGTTATTTTTGAATCAAGGCTGTAAATTGCCACTTTACAAAATTAGTTGACAGGGTCAAAGAAAATTAGAGCTTTGAGGAACTCCTGATGTTTGATAATGCACTACAAATTGTGATCTGTTCAAAAAATATGACCTAACTTTGAGTTAAATCACAGTCTATCCAGCTTAGTTAATTAGTTAGATTATGATTGGTTCTGTCAAAGGCTTTGGAGTAGTCAGTGCAGACTTCTCTCCAATGTAAACTGCTATAAATTGACTCGTACAAAATAAATTACTAACTGGTTAGGTAAAATAATGCGTTGTATGTAGAACAAGACGCGATTGTGGAAGACCAATTCAAAAATTTTGGGAGAAATTATTTAATATTGTATTTAGACGTTAGGAATAGATTTTTTTTATTAGCTTTGGATCACGTGCGATATAACGTGAGTTATAAAGGAAATAAACGCAAAACCTGGTGAAATAGAAGAGGTACTATTTATCATGTCTCTTCACAAATCTTCTTGATAGCTGACCTCTGTAAATATTCCAAAATCATTAAATAAACAAATAGGACCTACCTTTTCTTTAAGTGACGTTATATCTTCGAACCCAACCCACTGATCTGCACCATAAGCATACGGTCCCGAATTCTCCCTACCAACGCCCCATCTTTGAGTCCTCACACGATGACAAATTTCGTAGTAAGCCAGCAATCCGGGTTGTTTGGTATATTCTCCGGGTTCTCCCGGACCATTCGCCGGAGCCGATTCTCCGTAACTGCCTTTTCTCATTAATTCGAAAGATTGCCCGTAAAATGGTATGCCCATGAGAAGTTTTTCGCGCGGCGCACCCTTTGCGACGAGGTATTCCATTGTAAAGTTCTGAAAAGAAAATTACAAAGGTGTTGTTAAAACATACATCTTTTTAACTGAATACGCTTCTGTGCAAGTGATAAACGATTATTTAAAACGTAGTTAGGAACAAAATTATTGGTCCGATCCCATACAAGGCGTGACTTAACAAATCGCGTCATCGACTTCATGAAGGAGCTAAAACTACTTATAACCAAAAGGTTTTTAAAAAGTTTCACGCCATGACTGACAAAAAAACATTGTGTTCTTCCCCGATCAATAAATTTAATATAATTTTTTGAGGTTAGGATCAGAGGAATGTAAACTTACAACATTGTACTGAGGATATTTGTCACTCGGTTTTCCATACAAAGGACTAACGTGACCCGTCTGTCGCTCCCAAGCTCCATGATAGTCGTAGCTCATCACAGAAAAGAAATCCAAATTTTGTCCCAGCAGAGGAAGATCGTAAGCCAAATCTATCACCTCTTTGTATCCAGATATGGCGGCTGCTAAGATCAATGGTGGAGATTGTTTGTCGAATTCTTTTCTCAATTCCTATAACAAATGATTTTATTAAAAACGCAGTAACCGTACTTAATACTTATAATTCTTTAGCAGCAAAGGAACGAAAGGAACGCTTGAGGTCTAAAGGGTTAATTAACGCTGCTTTGTATTATTCAGTCACGGACTTATCTTTACTAAACAAAAATGCAACCGGGATAGCATGTTTATACCTGAAATGAAACGGCCTACGGTCCCAACCAAAGACATTTGTAATGTCTTTGGTCCCAACCAGGTCATTCAAGGAAACAAATTCTATTTGTCCTACAAAATTGAACTATTTTAGTCGGCTATCTCCACGATTAAATACTAATACAATAATAAAAAGTCTGTTATAAGAAAACCTATAATTTTTATTTCAAGCAGATACTAGTGTTTGTAATTCCAATACTCACTTGTACGATTTTGGCGAAATTCGCTTTATCAGAAGACGGTCCTCTTTTGCAGTTGCTCTGCCAACAGGTCGGATAGTTCCAATCGAAATGAAGTCCTCTGAATTTGTGTCTCCTCAGAAAACTCACGACACCTATAACGAATCGTCTTCTTGCCGATCCATCGCTCACCAACCTCGAATACTTATCACCGGTGGAATCTGTCCAACCGCCGAGCGACAGTAACACTTTGGTGTCTCTTAAAGACGTTATACGTTCGTAAAGATCTAAGATAAGAAGATGAATCAACCAAATTGTTTATTTAAGGAAGTGGTGTTACTTACTGTTGTCCAAATCCGCCCAAGCGTCGAATTCTTTGATCAACAATTTCTCTGCATCTAAACTGGCGAAAGCGTAGACTACGTGGGTACATAACCTTTGGTCTATGTGTTCGGGAACAAATTTTCCATCGCCTTTTCTGTAAAATGCCCAGTTCGTGACGTAGCAAACTACCTAAAACATTTATTAAAAATAATTTAAACATAATCGTACATAGCGGAAAGAATACCTTAGGTTTGTAGTCTTTAACGCTTTCCTTTAAACTAGCAAGATCCAGTTCTTTCAAACTAGACGGGATATAAACGGTTTCGCCAGGCCTACAGTACTCTGGATTGACTTGGTCGCATTTGGCGTTGATGGGATTGAACATCAGATCGGCTCCGCACGATAGATGATAGAGCAGACCGTTTTTGCAAATGTAGTAAGCGGCGCAGTTCGTGGAGTCGCTGAAATAGCCGACCGAATCGCAAACGCCGAGTGGCTTAGTCGGAGGGACGTAGGTGTCGCTTAAAAACGTCGGAGTTACTCCTAAAGCGAAAAACGGTAATAGTATAAGAGCGCATTGCATAATTTTGGGTTAAGTGTATATAAACTATAAAAATTAATTGAAATGTTTACTAACCTTTAAGTTCGCTATTAACTACGGTCAGTAAAGGCCATTTTACGCCACATAGACCTTTAAAATCGTCGAAATCTGCCGCGGTTACTGCTACACCCCCAAGATGATTTTCTTTGACGTAATCAACCTATAAAATAAAATTTCTAATGTACCTAATATTGAAAACCCACGCTTAAATAAGTACCTTTCTTTTAATACTATCAATATCATCGTACCCAACCCATTGGTCACCGTTAACGATATAAGGAGAACCCGAACCGTCTTCATTTCGGAACCAACCTTCGTTCAAAATCATATCGCATATTTCGAAATAGGCCAACAGTCCCGGAGTCCTTGTGTAATATCCTTCCCTGCCGGGACCTTTTATAGGCGAACCGATTTCGGTTTCGTTCGAATATAGAAGGGTGAATGATCTGCCGAAGAAAGGAATACCTACCACCAGCTTGGAACTGGGGAAGCCTTTTCTCAGCCAAAATTGGACGGCGTAATCCTAAACGAAACAATTTAAAATTAGTATTAATACCTACCGTAGTTCAACATATATAGATTTAGAAAGAATACAAAATAATTTACGGCCCAAAAATTTTCCCCTAATTTTCCTGGAAAAGGTGTTTGAGTTAGCGGAAAAACGTTGGAAAATTCGGTAAATAAAAATTATGTTTTTTAGTTTCCCCAAACGATGGAAAATCTCTAAAAACGTATAAATCCGCTGTCGAAAAAAAGTTGTTCTAGCCGGAAAATTGGTGGAAACTCCCTTTACTGTAGTTAAATTTCAAATTTTCCTATACCATTCGGCAAGGAGATTTTAAAAACATATTTGCTTTGTCTTTTTTATAAATTTTGAAAAAATCATGAAAATTTTACGTTTTTTTTTTATTTCTTCCTCCCTCTGTCATAAAAACTCTGACATGTAATCGAAGCGCCTCGCTGATCCGGATAATTCCTCTTAAGGTTTTTTGCTCTATTCTTTTAAGCAACGTTTTTCCCGGAAAAGCGTTACACTCTAAATTTCCCATAATTTTAGATATTTAGACAAAAATTCTTGTTTTTCTGTTAAAATATTAATTTTTTTATCAAACTTACCACGCTAAGAAAAATATTTAATCCCGTATCTTCGGGTCTGCCAAACAAATTGGAAGGATGGTCCGCTATCAGTTCCCGGTCGAGGTGAAAATCGTACGCCTGGACGTTGACGAAATCCACAATGTTTCCAAGTTTGACGGGATCAAAACCGTCTTCAATTTTAAATCTTGAAGCCGGTGCCGATACGGCCAGGATCCAATTATTGGATTTGAAAATTTCGGACAGTTCTTCTAGGAAGACGCCGAGGAATTCTTTGTCAGCAATGTGCCCACCTGTGAATAAATACAGATTTTGGATAAAAACTTTTTGGTTAAAATAATATAGAAATTATTATTATTATTATTATTATGAAACAGAGAAACGTTTAATTTAGAAAGTACCTGATTCTTCAGCTCCTGGATACTCCCAATGGACCTCTAGACCATCGAAATTATATTTGGTTACGAAGTAAATCACAGAACGTATAAAATTTCTACGTTTTTCGGCATTGGACACCATGTGACTAAATCGACGTGATCCATCATCTGTACTGCCTCCAAGTGATATTAAAACTTTTAAATGAGGGTTTTTTTCGCGCATACTTGTAATTGCTTTGTATCCACCTGAAATAAACATATTATTAGCTCAGATAACTGTAAAATTAGATCAAGATTTAAGAAATCTAGGACTTGCTATTGGTTAGCAAAGAGAAGTCTAAACCTGTTGTCAAACCTTGGATTAAATCGTACGCCTCGTCATTTGCAGTGATGGTGTAACTGATTGGATCAATTGTAGCATAATTATAAATAACATGCGTACAGAGAAAAGGATCCAAATCCTCAGGATTGAAAGTCAACGGTTCTTTTCTATACGAAGCTATACCGTCCACGTAACACACTATCCTTTTATCTTCTTCTATACTCTTTTCTGAAATCAATAAATACAATAAACAACCCTCTGCGATAAATCTATCAAAGTTAGAATACGTACTTCGTCTTTGATTTCTTATGAAAGGATTTTCGAGATCCACATTTCGTCCTCTTGGTAAGCTGTAAGGACTGACTAATAGTTGCTGGTAGCCGTTGCTAATCCTGTACGGTCTCGCAGACCGGTAGTCGGTTAGAATGTCGCGAAAAATATTAATTGGAGTATAAAAAGTTTGTTGTTGGTTGTTGTAAGGATAATAAGGATAATATTGAGATTGGGGAAAGTAAACGTATTGGGGATTATCGTTTGGAATTGTTTCCACGCTATCGTCGTCAGAAAAATCGAGTTGTCCTGTTGGACTAACGCTTGGGGGATATAAAAAAGTAGGATTGTGAGTTTTTTGTTTTGTAGTTTTTTGTAAATCTACCGGTTCGTCTGGTGGTGGTCTTTTTTCTACTGCGTCACGTAAAGGTAATCTCCTCGAATTCTCTATTCTGGAAGAAATATAAGTATAGATATAAGACAAAGGCATTAATTTCTGTTTCAATGAATATACGAGCAAAGTTTTGCTTTAGACAAATATAATGGGACCAATTATGTGAACAAAGTACTGAACACTTACATGTTAGGAATACTTTCGACAGCACTTCTTAATGGCAACCTACTGGATCCGTATTCAGCCTTTTGTGTATACGGTAATTTTTGATCTCCAATAGGAAATTTCGGTACATATTCTACAGAATCTCTTCTAAACGAAGGCACGCCGGGTTCTGGTACGTGAGAGTTCCTTTTGATTCTGGTCGATCTTTCTTCGGTTAATGATATGTAAAATAGCAGCACGATCGTCTGAAAAAAGTAACAAAACAAAAAACAACATGCAAAAAATGATAATTATTGTTATATGTGCCATTTCATTATTCAGTCATGCTCTAATCCTCCAAGTCCCTATCTGTCTTATTTGGCCTTTGAGGCTCACGATTCAAAGACATTCGAAATATATATAAATTAGAATAGTAGTGTTATAAAATAAATAAGTGTTTAAATAAATTATTAATAAATAAACAAACATCACATTATCTATTATAATTAAGAAGTAGTAATAGGGAAATAATATTGAACTAAAAATAACAGAAGCAATTGGACCAGACGAAATTATAAAGATTGTTGTCAAAAAAGACAAAATAGAACATTTCAACACTTGAAAACGTAAGGACTTAAAGGTTATTATCTCCAGAAGTAATATTTTAAAGTTGTTTCACAATATTTTATGCTAAAGAATATTGGATGTCATTGATTTAATAGTGTACTTCGAAAAACTCAAAATGGTCTCATTTTAAACCATTTGGATACAAATGAAAAACTTGCAAAGCAGTTGAAAATGACTAATTATGGAATGTTTAAAGAATATTGAATCCATGGAATATACAGGGTGTTCGGGAAAATGTGGGAGGTCTCTCGGATTCAGATAAACAATATAAAATAATTAAAGTTGAAGGTGGTAGCCATGTGTGAGTTATATGTTCAAAAAAGAGGTAAATAAAACAAGGGTGGTCCTTAAGATCTCACAAGAGTAATTTAATACGACCGGTTTCGAGGAGATCAGATCCTCATCATCAGGTATGGTCTAAAATAGATAGGTAAAAACGAATGAGCTCATAACTAATAAAGTGGGTTTAAAAAAATTATAAAAGGTATCAAATATCAAGAACTCACCCGTATTACTCATCTATTTAAGACTAAGCTTAGAGATTATCACAGGGTCGGTGTAAAAAACAAGTATGCGAGTATTTTTTAAGAAATGCATAAAAACAGTAGTTGCAACAAAAAGTTAATGTCAAAACACAAGTAGGTCTAAAACTATTAATTAAAATTATTAAAATATTTCACGAACGGACAAACATTAAGACAAAACAAATTTAAAACTTTTTTTAAACCCTACAAGAAATAAAATGGGCTCTTAGACAACATGAAGTGTTTATAATTCTGAAGGTATAATTTTTTATTTTAGATTAAAGATACTAATTAACGCCCTCTAGATATAAATAGACGAATTAACAATTCTAATATTTAAGAAAAACAGTTTAGAGGTTGTCAGATTTAAATATTTTGACATCGGCTAGAGTCCAATCACGATTTTGACTCAGGGGATGGCTTTAGGGTACTCCACATTTGCCACAACAAGTTGATATTGAATAATTTAGAGAACCTAGAAATATTTAGATTAAGAAAAAGTACCAATGCATTATCACTAAACTCACAAGTCTTTTCCGAATCCACACCCACTTTCTCAGTTCTTTTTTAAAAATCTACGTTTTCCCTTAAATTACCCCCTTTTACTTTAAAATCTCCCTATGAAATTCTATTGACTTTAATTATTAGTTATACTTATTTTATCTATTCCCTATTTTTACTCTGTCTCTTAATTAATAGTTTTAGACCTACTTGTGTTTTGACATTAACTTTTTGTTGCAACTACTGTTTTTATGCATTTCTTAAAAAATACTCGCATACTTGTTTTTTACACCGACCCTGTGATAATATCTAAGCTTAGTCTTAAATAGATGAGTAATACGGGTGAGTTCTTGATATTTGATACCTTTTATAATTTTTTAAACCCACTTTATTAGTTATGAGCTCATTCGTTTTTACCTATCTATTTTAGACCATACCTGATGATGAGGATCTGATCTCCTCGAAACCGGTCGTATTAAATTACTCTTGTGAGATCTTAAGGACCACCCTTGTTTTATTTACCTCTTTTTTGAATATAAAATAAGATGACAAGTTCCCATAAATTTGTTTCCTAGCGGCCCTCCCTACGGACATACGGCCTCCAAAAGGACGCCACTGGAAATCAATTTTTCTTGAATCTAGTCCTAAATATAAAACCACTGTTAGTTTGTCAACTTCAAGGAGAAAATAGTCGAAATCAAATATTTCTGTTCCTAGACAAAAAAAATTAATATTTTATTTTTTTTAATGTTCTATCTGAATCCGAGAGACCTCCCACATTTTCCCGGATACCCTGTATAATGGGCTCTTTAGAATAAATTTGATAAAATGTGTATTGGTCAAATAAAAAATTAAACTTCTCACATATCGTTTTACTTTTTTAGATGCCGTTATCATTTTTTCAAAAATTATATGAATTATGGGCTTTTCATTTTTTAACAATTTGCTAGCCGATTCTAAAATTCTCACACAAACCAATTAAAATGTATTAGCTATTTATGTAGGCACTAGTTTTTATGTAATTAAACAAGAAATAACTAAAATAGTACTTACTGTGATCAGCAGCTTCATCGTGTGTTAACTAACGACTAAAAAAATTTGCACTAATCTAAGATTACCGCATTAGTGGATCGTAAATTTTCCCTCCTTTTTTTAACCTGAAACAAAAAAAACACTGTTAACATGAAGTTAACCCTGCGAACATAAAAACCGATTAATGAAGCAGAAACACTGGAAAGTACGTGCGTGCCACTGACCAATTTAAGCCCAAAGACAATGGGGCATACATTGAAATTCTTTGCAGGTATCCACTTCGATTAAACATTACTAACTTGTGATGTATTACACATTGCAGACGATTCCCTTGACTAAGGTCTTCAGACAATGTCATTGAATACAAAAATAGGATATGCAAAAAAAAATAAATTGAATCTTAAAACTTTCAGTAAAACAAAATTTACTTATTTAATTCAGTAATACAAAAAATTACTACTAATATGTATTAAAAATAAATAAAAATGTAAGATTGAAAAAGTAGATCAATCCGTTCCTTATGTCAGCGCAAGAAACATTATTTTTTCTATAATAATAATAATAATAATAATAATCATTTATTTCTGTAGACCTGAATACATAGGTATAGAAAACGTCACACAAAATTTACAAACAAGACAAAAATGTATGAGTAAAAACAAACTTATACATAATTCGTTACATACAATACATTTAAAACATTTAAGTAAAATTAAAACATTTAAGTGAAATTATAACAAAACATTTAAGTAAAATTGCAGTTGAGGTATTCCTCAACACTATAAAAAGTGTGATCTAGTAAGACCTCTGTTACTTGGGTTTTGAAAGCTTTAACATCATTTATGCATTTTATGTTATCCGGAAGTTTATTGTAAAGCTTGATTGCTGTAATTAGAGGTCCTTTACTTGACATAACTAATTTATGTCTAGGTATAACGAGATTTTGTGCATTTCTTAAATTGTACCCGCTATTAATAGAAATATCACCTCTACAAAGAAAATTCTGATGATTAGACCTTACATATAACACACATTTTAAAATATAAACGGAAATAACAGTTAAAATTCTTAGATCTTTAAAAAGTTGTCTGCATGAGAATTGTCTATTTTTGAAAGTAATGGTTCTTATAGCCTTTTTTTGTAACACAAGTATGTCATTTATTCTATTACAATTTCCCCAGCATAATATGCAGTAATTCAAAATCGAGTGAATTTGAGCGAAATAATACATTTTCAGGATATCTACTGAAATAAAATGTCTTAGTTGCCAAAGGACATAACAGTGAGTGGCCAATTTAGATGTGATATGGTCAACATGAAAATTCCAAGAAACATTACAATCAAAATGAACTCCTAAAAATTTGACACATTTACTTTGAGTTATAGATGTACCATTGTGGCGGACCAGTAAACTATAATTTAACTCTCTTGGGGAAAATAATAGTATATTTGTTTTATTAACATTTAAAAATAGCCCATTGTTGTAACAATAACTAGTCATAGTTTCGACAGCCATGTTAACTTGATCTCGTAACAAAAGAGTATCTTTACTTACAACACTAAATGATGTATCATCAGCAAATTGAGTGATAAAAATATTAGAACTGGCTAAGTCGTTAATAAAAAGAAGAAAAAGAGTAGGACCTATGACACTACCTTGTGGTACACCGGAACTGACTTTTCGAGAAGTTGATAGATTTTTTAAAGAATTTGAATTAAATAGAACTGTTTGGGATCTGTTAGTTAAAAAAGATTTTATCCACATCAGAGCAGGGCCCCTGATACCATACAACTCAAGTTTATGTAAAAGTAATTCTTGATTGACTGTCTCAAAGGCTCGAGAAAGATCAAAAAATAAAGTTAGACACTTATTATTTTTATCAAAATTTTCTAGGATATGATTGAACAATGTAAGAGTTGCATCTTGAGTGGAAAGGCCTTTTTGGAAACCGAATTGATAAGGATTTAAAATGCTGAACATGTTAATATATTTTACTAGCCTGGTTTGGAATGCTTTTTCGTATATCTTTGAAAATGCTGGTAATAATGATATACCACGGTAATTTGCAAACTCTGTTTTTTCTCCTTTTTTAAAAAGTGGTATTATAATTGCACTATTTAGGATCTGAGGAAATGAACCGTTTTGAAAGGACAAATTAATTAAAATAACCAAAGGTTCCACGATATATTCCAATGCATGGAACAACAAACTATATGGAATTTCATCAATTCCGCAAGAGTTTTTTGAGGATATTGTTGTTATAATTATTTCTACCTCGGAATTTGTTACTGGATATAAAAACAGTGAATCTCTACATGAATTTATGTTGTGTCCGTTGTTTGAGTTTTCTATTGTTATTTTTGATAAAAGGTCTGATATTGAGCCAGAGAAAAAATCCGCAAAAGATTCAGCAATATCAGTCTGTTTTAAAATTCGTTTACCTTCATTATCTTTAAAATAGTTTGGGTAGTTATTTTTATTTGATTTTTTCCCATTTGTATTGTTATTTAGTATATTCCAGGCACCTTTTGTTTTGTTGTTTGAATAAAACATTTGAGTATATATACCTTTATCACCAGAAGATTTGTAGAGATAAAAAAGATCTCTTAAAAGGAAACCTTCATTTATAATTTCCATAGTAATCCAAGGCTTTCCCTTATTTATATTAATATTTGATTTTTTTTTATATGATTCTATTGGAAATGACTTTTCAAAAATATCTACAAATATATTGTAAAAGAGGCCAAACATTTTATCACATGATAAAGTATTTTCATTCACAAAACTCCAGTTTTCATTTGCTAGCAAATACTTGAAGTAAAAAATATTCTGAGCGTTAAAAACCTTACGTTTCAATGCATAAGTGACATCCAAACTTTCCGAACCGGACTCGGTGTCATAAACAATTTGTTGTAAAAAATGATCACTGACATCAGTTCGTATAACATTGCATTTGATAGTTTGTTTTTCTAAATTAGAAAAAATATTGTCAATTATTGATGATTTGTTATACGTGTATATTCAAAAATACACTGATGTAAACCATAAGTTAAAAAATGTTTCTTAATCTTTTTGCATTAACATCGTGAATGTTTTCGTCAAAATTTACATTGAAGTCCCCACACATTAAGAATATTTTATCACCCTTAACTATTTCAGACAATAGACAGTCAATGTTACTTAAAAATTGAGCAATATCTGGCGATGTTCGGTAAAAACAGCCTACGGTCAAAGAAAATTTATTAATTTGTAAATCGATTAGAGCATATTCAAAAATTTCATGGATTTTATTTATTTTACTTGACTTTATTGTGTATTCCAATTCAGTTTTAACAAAAATTGCGACACCGCCACCTTGCTTATCTTTTCGACAAAAATAATCAGTCAATTTATATAAATCAATGAAAATAGATATTAGTTCAAATTCTTCACACCAAACTTCACTAATACAAAAAATATCGGGGTAATTTAGTGATACGATCAGTTCTTCAAGTTGATCTATTTTATTACGGAGACTTCTGAAGTTAAGATGGCATAATGTGATATAAAACGACTTACTGCCTTTGTCCTCGAAAAAACTCGTAATCCTATTGGGACCATTGCAACTAGCGCCCTCTATGAGACAGGTGATATTTTTGGCTCATTTTTTCACATAGAGATACTAAAAAACTACGCTCTCTCAGAATATGTCTAAAAAATACAAGGTGTCATTTAAATTTGTGGACCGGCGGTGGCGAATGTTATGTTGCGTATGTATCTCATATACTATTAATTTTACCCCTATTTCCTTAATGACATTACAAAATTTCAAGTCGATATCTTTTAAAATACCAGATATAATTCCATTTAAAGTTTTCGCTCAGACACCCGGTATATTACCTAATTTAAAGTTGGATTTGATAACGTACCATTTTTTATATACCGCTCGGTATTTTAAAAGATATTATTTTTACATAGAATTAGTACAAAAATATTTAGAAGGGATAACACACATTCTTATCTGAATAAGTCCATAAAAACAGAAAAATCATCAAGAACCTCTCGACTGCCTAATGATCAAAGTTACATGAGTATTTCGTCTTAATGAAATCGCTCGATTTTCTCTTAGAAAATACCGCCCGGTATTTTAAAAGATATTATTTTTACATAGAATTAGTAAAAAAGTATTTAGAAGGGATAACACACATTCTTATCTGAATAAGTCCATAAAAAGAGAAAAATCATCAAGAATCGCTCGACTTCATAATGATCTATATTTATGCAAGAATATTCTGTTAATTCAAAACGTAGGGTCATAAAGACAAGATTAAATGAATATTTCGTCTCAATGAAATCGCTCGAGTTCCTCTTAGAAAATACCGCCCGGTATTTTAAAAAATACTATTTTTACATAGAATTACTGCAAAAGTATTCAGAAGGGGTAACACACGTTCTTCCCTGTATAAGTCAAAACAGAAAAATCATCAAGAATCGCTCGACTTCCTAATGATCTATATTTATGCAAGAATGGGGAACGTCTATTTTGTTAATTCAAACAATAGGATGATAAAAGACAAGATTAAATGAATATTTCGTCTTAATGAAATTGCTGGATTTTCTCTTAGAAAATACCGCCCGGTATTTTAAAAGATATTATTTTATTTTTATCACGATTTTTTAAAATGCAAGAAAATATGACGACGACAGCGATGTTGTATAATCCAAACAAACTTTATTTATGGGATATTACGAGGGAACACATCAATGCTTTGTTCATGTTAACGAATATAAAATATGCTTAAAATGTAAAATATTGATTGGTAAACGAACCAAAACGAATTATTATAATTACTGTAAAATATAATTGCATTGTTTTATAAAATAAAGTAGTTTATTTTCGATATTCAGAAGGAATAACGTAGGTTTTCCCTTGTATAAACAATATTTTATGTTAATGATGAAATATAATAACAGCCTACCTGTTGATTCTTCGTCAGAGCTATACTCTTTTTATTTGTTCCTGTAAATATTTCACCTAACTGTCTTAGCAACTTTGTTTTGCACTATTTTTACCCCGATCTTAAGAAAAATGAGCGCGTTTTAGCATTTTTAATTTTTAAATTCACTTTTAAATATAATTTAGTCCGTTGCCGGAAAAAAGGAATGATATGCAGGTTTGGTATACGATAGGAGCAGTGAATATGGGGCATTTTGTTTACTCTAGAAAAAATACGTGCTGATGAGTAGGTTTCAAGGAAACTACAATGTAATTGAATCGGTGAGTGAAAGAACAATACAAGTGCCAAAAATGGCAATTTTAACTGAGATAGGCAAATTGTTTAAATTTCATAGGCCTATCATATAGCGAAAGAATAATACACCGAACAACATCGTACGAGCCATGGGAGCTAGTTCAATTTTCGGCTGAGTGAAAGAACAGTACACGTGCGGCACATGTACTGTTTTTTCCTCAGTCGCCATGTCGTTTCGTAGACAAATTTGACTGATTTCAAACACTGGTGGTAACAATTTCATAAAAAAAACGACCAAATCAGTTGATGAACAAAAAGCTAAATTTGTCAGATCACACTAGTGAAACTCCTGGGCATGTTACTACAAGTGCCTTTATAGGTGGTTTTTTCTCGCACACTTTTAAATTGATCAAACCTAATGCCAACCCGCAATTACCCTTGTACCTGTACCTGCACGCCCTGCACGGGTAGACCGGAGCGTGTATTGGAATCGATCTGTGCAGTGTTTTGAACCTGCACAGGCGTCCGGAGCAAAATAGAAAATCAATTCTCTTTAGTGACATTGTACGGTGAACAATTGCGTGAATGCCCGCAATTACAAAAGGCATACTCAGAAGTTGCCCTTATTAACGTAAAGAAGATAGCCAATTTAAAGACACTTTCATCTTACTTTAGTGATTAAATCCCAGAGTTTCACTACCATATTACTTCTTGGAAAGTCAAAAATAAGGATTTTGAACAAAAATTACAAATACATTTGTTAAATGATAATCAATAAAGCTATAAAAAAATTTATAGTATTTTTTTTTTAAATTGAGTGAAAGAACAGTATAACTGCAAGTCATTTTTTTCAAATATTATTTTTTGCATAATTTTGTTTTTAAATTTATCTACGTAATATTATCGGTTAACAAAAATTCTATAACTTCACAATACATAATTAAGCCGAATAACCTATAGTTTTCCTTTAAAACAGTTTTTTTTTTGTTTTTCTCAAAATGGTCATTTTGGATATATACTGTTCTTTCACTCACCGATTCAATTATATCAAGGACAAACGAAGGAAAATAAAAATTTGATCGCTGGTTGTTTTGTAGTAAAAAACTTAAAGTGTATACAAACAACAAAAAATAAGCTGTTTTTCTTTTATTCGAAAATAATAAAAATAAGACAGGGTCAATATAAGATCGCTGTGGAACACCGGACGTCACTTGTACTTCACTAGAAACCAATCAAAATTTATATATCATCGTTACTATGCCTTTCATTAATAATTTCACAAGAGGTCGATAAATAGCTTGAAGTATTTCTATTTGGATATATTTTTTGTAATTTTTTTACTTTATTTGCTTGTGTTTGCCTCGATATTTTAATGAACAGTTGAAATGCTGATGATAGCTCCTAAGTGTATGCTTAATCTGATTTTAATAAAGCAGCTTTTCTGACAGCGTTTTTTTCACATCCCTTTTGATATCATTATTAAATCAGCCTCTCCTTTATACAAATCAAGTAATAATAATTGATGAAGTATAAAGAATGCCGAAATTGTTGGCTATTCAAATTTTTAAAAGTTGAACTTTTATAATATGTAAGGTAACGTGTCAAAATCAAGGATAAACATAATTGGGTATGAAAATGTCAAGAATTTGTTTAAAAATGTAACAAAACAAAAGAATGATACAGGATACATAATATATTTATGTTCAATACATAAAATACGAATTTAAATATTCGAAAGGCATTTAGATATAATTATAACTTTATTTTTTATCGATTTATAAAAATATAATTTTGACGTGACATTTACAATTTTTTTAATAATTTTCGCTGACAGATGTATCACCATGAAAACGTCTATTATCCATTCGCCATGGGTGTCTCATGAATATATTTAAACGTAGATAATAAATTGGTACGTGCAAGGTTTTTTGTACTGAGACATTTACAAGTTCTTCAGTTTACGGTACTTCATTCTGAACCACCCTGTATATAAATTTTAGAGTTAATTAAAAAACCTCTTAAACCAAAATTCTTGCATCACAATTTCATTAAATATTTCGATTATCGGAATGTTACTGTATAAAATAACACTAAGATGTATAAAAAATGGAAATGGTAATAGACACTGAAAAACCAATTATTAGAAACGGAATATAAATGACAAATTTAAATAAATCAGGTTCTTCGGCCGTTGCCTCTTTTTTTTCTGTTGTCAGTCTATCGACGATACAATTCGAGCTCCTAATTTTAAAGTCAAAACTAAAATTAGATGATTTGCAATAATTGATTGGTCCCGTTACTTTTATTCAAATAAAATATACTCGTGTGCACAAAGGCAATATTTATCGATCAGTATTCATAAAATTTGAAGACTCGATAGATCTGGAATTAGCAACAGTAATAATAACATTAATAACTTCAGTAGCAACCCTAAAACAATGTCAGTGACGTATTTGACAGAACTGATACTTAAGTTGTCATACTAAGAACTGCCATTTTTTTTTTTAAATTTCTTGTTTTATCAAATCACGTGATAAAAAACTTACTGCGTTGTTAGGTAGATTTTTTCCTTAACCTTTGACAGTGTTCTTTCTGCAGCTAATGTGCTATCAACTTTAAAATTCTATTAAGTTATAACTCGATTGAAGATTGGAATGGATGTAAAAAAGAACTGCTTGTCTATAGAACAATAAAAGCTTGACTATAAAGAATTTTCAATAGTAAAAAATGTGTTTTGAGATTCAAGTAAAAATTGATAGTTATGTAGTTTTGTAATTTTAATATACTAATATAAAAATATTCGAACATGACAATTTTTAACTGATGTATTTTTTTAATTATTGCTTTCTTCGCAGCTACTTACATCTTGTCTCAGGTTCGCTACCAACGAGATAAAATTTTCTCATTATAAATGAAATGGAGATGAAGGAAATAGCCTCTAATGTTGAGATACATGGTTCATAAGTTAAAAGTTCGGCTGACTCCAAAGCTGTTGTACTAGAAATTGCTAATGATTTATTTCAAAGTAATATTCTAAATAATGATACCTGTGAATGGTATACCAAAGAAACTTAAAAGGACCAATTATAATTACAAAATTCTCTAATCAGGAAATAAAAAAGAAGTTCCTAGACAGTCGCAAAGATCGTAAAATTGACTCAAAAATGCTCAGTGTTAACAAGTCAATTAATAAGGTTACCAAAGAATCCACTATTTATGTGAATGAACAACTTACAAGCACCAATAGGAACTTGTTTAACATGGCATACAAATTTAAAAAAAAGAATGATGATTTTGCATCGAATTCTGGAACATTATCACAACGTGGGTTAATAAATTATCAATTAATTAACTAGACGATCACTACTACTAGAGGAAAAGGCCAAATACAGTAAGTATAGAATTTAAAGTAAAAATCGAGAGGTAAATAATAAAATTTAAGATTTAAACGAAAATCAAAAATGATATTGAGGCGGGTGGTTACACGGCTATGTTGATAAAAATTAGCGGCAGATAAAATATTTTATTGTTACAGTGAGATAAAGTGTTTGTTTACTTTCGCAAATCGCTATGGTAATGCATGGCTTTAAAGACGGTTGGCGATAAAATTATTTTTAATTTTTACTTATTTAATCTACAATTTCATTATCCACATTTTTACTGATATACTCGAAGATTGTCTTTTCAAATTTCTTTTTCCAGAATTAAGAACGATTATTTTGAAAAAAAACATAGAAATACTTTTTTCTTTCATTTTTCTTATTAGAAAACTTATACTTTTAGATCAACCCCTGTAAAGTGGTACAAAGAAACGATTAAAAATAAACGTAGGATGTGAGTCCTGAATTTTGTTTTGTTCAGATAAATTACTCCAGCATTGCAACGATTTGACCAGTTTAGCAAGAAAAACGTGAACCAATTTAATGAGTGCTAATGGTAAATGGAAAAGTACTTAGCCATTGGATTTATTACAGACGAAACAATTTATACTTAATAATTAGTGTGTTATCTTTTTTGTTAAAGTATAGCTTGCGGATAATAAGTGCTTCTTTCTTCGCGTTCCGTAAAAACTTGTTTGAAATACCGGGTGTTCCATTATGTTTTACTTTCAATGTTTAAAATGATTATAACTAATCTATGGTGTGTCCCTGTTTTTTTTTTTAATTTGGTGTCATCGGCGTCGACTACTACGGCCATTAGTCTCGTGTTCTGTATAGGCTTTGTTACTGTTTCCCAGCGCCACTTTAGGAACAGCACTATTAATTGGAACCCAACAGTGAATGGTCGAGTGGAGAATCCTACCAAGGCATCAGAATTAATTTTAAATAATTAAATTAAATGAAAAAATCCCACCCAACGGTGGGATTCTATCCTGAGACCTTCCGATCTCAAAGTCATGACTCTAACCACTGAGCCAACCCACCCCCCGTGTCCCTGTTTTGAAATTTAAAATGTAGTAACAGTTTTTTTAAGGTTCTAGAATAAAAAAAACAAATAAAATCACTATCAATAACCATATAATCGATTATTGTGCACATTCAATTTAAGTTTTAAATAATTTATGTTTCTAGCTAGAAAATACATGCCCATTCTAAAAAGGTTAATAAATTACAAAACCTTTTTATTATATGATGCTAAATAATGAAAAAATTCCAGTTTAGTTTAGTTTTATATAATTTAAAAATATTGTAGGATACTAAATGTTTTTTCGATAAGATATCACCAAAAGTAGGTGTTTAATAAAAGATCCCTTAATTTCATCATAATTCAGTTTAAAAAACTATCTTCAGCTAAAAATAGATATTTTTTAAATATGGATTTGTTATTTATTTATTAAAATTAAGAATGTAAAAATTTTTAAGGTTTTTTTCTTTGCCCTCTCCCCCTGGAAAAATTCTGGTCGCACCCATGTGTTCAACTATATCTGACAAGAAGTCTGAGATATATATGAGATATAGATGTTGGTTATTCCTTATCTTTCTTCAAATCATTAATCTTACAGAGATGTTTATCATCTTGAATTATGCTAATTCAATAAAGAGTTTATGACAAGATAAGGTGTAAAAACGATTTGTTTTGTATAGAAATAAACAACATAATTATCAATCTGTCTCAATTTGACAAGTCTTCATACACCTAGGTAATTATTGGATTCATTTCAGTTAAAAAAAAGTGGAAATAACCAGGAATTAATAAATTATATATATATATTTTGAAACAATAATTGGA